TCTAACTAAATTTATAAAATCAGTAACAACTCTATCAACTTTTGGGTTTCATTTTCATTAGTAAAATAGGGGTACTTGTATCTCACAGCAGTTTGATGATTAATTGAGATAATATGTGAAGACACTTCTGCTGATGCTTAACACATAGCAGCTATTTGATAAAAATTAGTTTCCCTTCTGGAACGTTAACCTGCAAAAGCCAGTCAAGCTGCCACTGACAAAAAATATCATCATCACTTCAAGAAACACCAAGTCCCAGGGGCGCCTGGGTGGCGCAGTCGGTTAAGCGTCCGACTTCAGCCAGGTCACGATCTCGCGGTCCGGGAGTTCGAGCCCCGCGTCGGGCTCTGGGCTGATGTCTCAGAGCCTGGAGCCTGTTTCCGATTCTGTGTCTCCCTCTCTCTCTGCCCCTCGCCCGTTCATGCTCTGTCTCTCTCTGTCCCAAAAATAAATAAACGTTGGAAAAAAAAAATTAAAAAAAAAAAAAAAAAAAAGAAACATCAAGTCCCTCTTATGTTCAGTCTTAGCTATTGTCCCTAACATCACATTCATTTTCAATTGACTAAATTTATTAAAAGGAATATACTCAAAATTAAAATGGATGTCCATCTTTCATATTGTGTGCTGACAGTTCAGAGCCTGGAGCCTGCTTCAGATTCTGTGTCTCCCTCTCTCTTTGCCCCTCCCCTGATGACACTCGGTCTCTCTCTCTCTCAAAAATAAACATTAAAAAAATTATTTTTAATGGATCTCCATCACACCTAGTGATATGCTCTCCCTATGGAAACTCATTTTTGAAAGTACTATAGTAATTATATTATCAACCACCCTTCCTAAAATGGAATCTTAAATGGGCCAATCTAGTCAGTCCATATCTCAAATAAATTTTATATCATACAAAACGTCTGTAACAAACTCAACAGAAACATACACCGCGTAAGGTACGAAGTGTGGAATTGATTAGAGAGGGCTTTGAAAATGTAAATCATAGGTTCTTTTGCTTCAGTATAAATAAGAAATGCTTGAGCCTATCAACAAAATACAGGTTCCTGAGCCTCACCCCCATTTCCGATTCATTGGGTCTGGTGAGGGCCAGAGAATCTGCATTTTTAACACTTTCCAAGTGAGACTCATGCTGCTGGTCTAGAGACCACACGTTGAGAACCTCCAGGATGTATTAAAGACATAGATCTACAAGACCTGTGCCTTGCAGGTATGTGGAAGAAAAAGTTACAAAATACAAAATGGACCACAGAATAGAATGAGAAAAAACGATGAGACAAGAAACTTTGATTTTGTCAAGGTAGATGAAGATGGCATAGAGGTATGCCAACACTGCTCGATCAGAAGGGACAGTGACTAGAGGCCTGGTTCAGGGTCCTGGAGCTCCTGCTGGACTGGAGCTCAGGCCTCCCGCCGCAGGAGAGGCAACAGGCAGAGGCATCTTGGGATGGGGGAACTGGGACACTTGGGCGGCTCAGGGCAGTGCCCTATTAGCAGTCAGTACAAAAATCACTTGAATATTTTAATAACCAGAATGTCCATCTGGGAGTGTTCTGGCTGAAATCAGCTCTCCAAGAGAGGATCAGGAGGAACACAATGAATACCTAGGCACAGAGGGAAGCAGTAGCTAGTGCAGGGTATCAGAAAGCTGCCTGGGGTGTAGTTTAGCTTGAACTGGGGTTGTTCCTTAGGAATATGTTAGAAAAAAGGATTCCATTTCCTAAAGGACTAAGGCATATAATGGAAAAAAACTCTAGCAGACCGGGTTTGAAGCAGAATAGAAATAAAAATAAATACATCTCAGGTGCCAGCCTAGACAGAACCCATATCCAAGAGTTTTGTGTTTGTACCCTGACCTTACATTTATTTGTAATGCAAAACAAAACAAATAAAAACTTTACAGAACGTTTTGCTTAATGTCATCTTGTAGATGATTCACTACCAGGAACTGCAGCAATTTAGATACCTAGAATAGTTCTCCACAGGTTATAATAAGCAGGCTTCTCAAACTTTAAAACACATGTACACATGGATGTTGAAAAAAATGCAGATTATCATTCAGGAGATCTGAGGTGAGGCCTGAGATTTTGCATCTCTAAAACATTTTCAGGAGGTATGAGTGCACTGGGTTCATGAACCACACTTCGAGAAATAAGAGTAAAGCTGTGGTTTTCAACCTAAGTTGCAAAATTTTTTTTAACGTTTATTTATTTTTGAGAGAGAGCGAGCGAGCAGGGGAGAGGCAGAGAGAGAGGGAGTTTATTTATTTTTGAGAGAGAGAGAGCGCGAGCAGGGGAGGGACAGAGAGACAGAGGGAGACACAGAATCTGAAGTAGGTTCCAGGCTCTGAGCTGTCAGCACAGAGCCTGACAGGGGGCTTGAACCAATGAACTTCGAGATCATGACCTGAGCTGAAGTCTGCTGCTTAACCGACTGAGCCACCCAGGCACCCCAACCTAAGTTGCAGATTAAAAACATGTGGAGAAGGGCACCTGGGCGGCCCAGTTGGTTAAGTGTCCGACTTCAGCTCAGGTCATGATCTCACAGCTCGAGTTCAAGCCCCAAGTCTGGCTCTGTGCTGACAGCTCAGAGCCTGGCGCTTGTTTCGGATTCTGTGTCTCCCTCGCTTTCTCTGCCCCTCCCCCCCCTCAAAAATAAATAAAGACATTAAAAAGGTAAATAAATAAAAACACGTGGAGAGCCCAGGCATTTTTCCAGACTAATTCAATTGGTACTCTGGCATCAGGAATTTTCAAAACTTCCCAGGTGATTTCTATGTTCAGTCAAGGTTAAGAATAACTGTCAAGTATAATGTTCCCTTCTGAAACCCTGGAATAGTTATGGAAGACATATCCATAGCCAAAGTGGAGAGCCTCCTAATGACAGGATCTCTAGTTTATCATCAATCCTAATCACAGTGTTAATAAGAAATTGAATCTATAATTTTAGCTTACTATTAATCTTTAATTTATTACAATCCTCTTTGTTGAAACTTATTTAAATATTACAATGTTTAATATATGTTATCAAAACTGTGCTACAGGGGTGCCTGGGTGGCCCAGTTGGTTAAGCATCTGACTCTTGATTTCAGCTCAGGTCACAATCTCAGGGTTCTCACCCCGCGTGGGGTTCTGTGCTGACAGTGCGGAGCCTCCTTGGGATTCTCTCCCTCTGTCTCTCTGCCCCTCCCCCACTAGCTCGCGTGCGCGCTCTCTCTCTCTCTCAAAATAAAAACTTAAAAAAAAAACCAAAAACAAACTGTGTTACAGATGCCAGTCCTTGCTACAGAACACTGAAATGACTTTGAAAATCTTCCTTGAGCTAGCTTAACAGATGCCACGTAAAATAAAATAAGCCAATGCTTCTCTAGTTTTAAAACGAGAGTGAAATGTTCTCTTATCAAAAATCTGAAGACTAGAGTTGAACATCCAGGTGACAAATCATAAAACAATGGTCTCCACAATGGGGTGTGTTCATCCTAGGATGTAAACAAGTTGATCCACTGGAGTATAGGAAGAAAACAGACTTCTATTATATTTTTAACTTAAAAAAAAAAAAGTTTACTAGTGCCTTCCTTTGGATGTCAGACGGTCATATGCTACATACATGCTGTGGGAAACATACGGTGAGAGAAGAGCAGCCAGTTCACTAACGGCCGATAATGGGACCTCATTTAAGTACTTGGCTGCACTCTCATTCTTCCAGCCATAGGTTGGATCAACCATCATCAGCTTCTTATTTACATCCAAGCAAATCTCCAACTAGTGTAGTCAATAGAACAAATGTTCATAGTCATCAGGGTACAAAAGAACCCCACTGGTTAGATCCTCGAAAGTAGTGAAGATGTGAAATTGAGGAAAAAATGGTAAAATGTTTATGGAGTCAACTTTTTTGGTTTTTTCATAGCAAAGCAGATCTCAAAAAAAGCAAATAACGTTCGCGCTATTTTATTAGGATTAAATGTGAATAAACTTGCATGATAAGTACAAATAACTGAAAACAGCATTAAAATACCTTTTATAGTCCAATTTTTACTATTTAATATAAGCACGGCTGCAATTGTGAATATTTTGTGAGACTGGGCATCAGATGGCGCTCACCCTTACTAAAAACCTGAGCAGTGACAGAACATTAACAGGCATTTCGAAATTCAGCCCTGTTGCCAAGCACCGTTTTTCGGTCAAGTCACTTTTTCTGAGTCTCGGTTTCCTCACCTGCAAAGTGGGGGTGGGAACGGACCAGACGGATTTCCAACCCAGCTTGTCTTTGATTCTCTGTGTGGTGGTGGCGTTGACTGGCTTCTGCTACCAATGGCTGAAATAGAAAGAAATTCAGAAAAGACAGGTTGGGCAAGTGTGATAGAGGTAGACGGTGTTCGGCTCTGGTTCGAAGGCAGGACGCTTTCGGCGTTTTAGCCGCTCACTCTAGGTGGGCGGCGGAGCAGAAACTCAACCACGTGGTTTCTTCATTTCCCTGGGGGATCCCAACACGGGGTTATTTCCAGAAAAAACAATTTTCAAAGGACAGAAGCGCGGGTCCCACTAAAGTTCTGTGCAAGCACCCTCGGAATGCGGGAACACACCACAAACTTAATTCACGTCCTGATTCTAAGTGCACTCCACGAAAACCACAGCCGGCCGGACACAGATCCTGGAGGCGAGGCCCAGAAAGTCACGTGGGACCGCGCATTTACAGCCTAGCTGGTCGCTCGGGTGGACGCCGAGCGCCACCTCATGTAGGTTGTTCCATTCACGCCAGGGTCGGAGCTTACCCTATCGCAGGAACTAGAACAGCCCAGCGGCGTCCTGGGTGATAACCTGAAGGCAAAGGAAATAGTTTACTGCATCTGCCGAGCTTCTTCGCTATATTTCAGTTGCTTTGAGGGATACCGTCCCTCGATTTCCTCTCGATGCCCGTTTCCCCTCCCGTAGGATACCAGTTGGTATCGTCCGCGGTCCGCCCCCGCTCCGCCTCGCCCCCGCACGCCGTGGCCTGGGGCCCCTCACGTGACCCCGTCGCGATCTCGCGGGGGACCAGACTCTCCGAGGCGGTGCCGCAGGGAACAGAGGGACTGACGGAGCGGAGTTCGCAGCAGCTTTCGCCGGAACATCAGCGCGGAGGACGTGATGTCGGGGCTCTCCCGCCAGCTGCCTTGGGCCGCTGCCTGCCTGGCCGCGCTCTGTGTGCTGACCGCGGCTCAGGACGTCTCCCCGGACCCGAACGTGACTGCAGTTACGACTTTAGCGACCACCAAGTCAGTTCCGACGTCGGTGACGACTCTAACGCCGGTCACCACTCCAGCACAAGGTGGGGGCCGGCCCAACGGGCTTCCCGCACTGGCACGCCCGCCGAGTCGAGCCGTCTGTCCTGCCCGCGGTGCGCGCGGGGCCCGGGCGGGCCGCGCTCCAGCAACATGGCGGCCCGTCCGAGTCCAGCCGGGGCCCGGCTCGGGGTGGCGGGGGTGGGGGAGCGCCCCGGGGAGAAGGGGCGGTCGAGCCTCCGTGGCCTTTGCCACCCCGAGTGCCCCACGCCGACATGCTTTTAAAAAGTGCCTCGTAATCCCCAGTCTCACTTCACGCTCGGAAGAGGGGACGTGGCTTCCTCCCGCGGTGGCTGCAGTGGGGTTGATCATGGGGCGAGGCGACTCGCCTCCAAAGTTGTTGATGAAGTCGAACCCCCCTCTCTTTGGGGTTAGCCGTTTGCCCACCCAGGTCCTGCCTCCGAGAGGAGGCTTCTCCGGAAGTTGGCGAAAGAGGGAAAGAAGCCGTAGACGTTAATGCTGCTAGTGTCTCCGACTTCGGTCTGAGAAAATAAGTTGCCTGGGATCTAACTATATTGATTCTGCGGATAGGTATGAGATACACTCGAGGGTTGGGCATTCGATTAATTAAAACTTTGCTATGTGCAAAGAAAAAAAGTAACCATTCGTGTACTCAGTGCTTCACATATCCTTTTTGGTATTTAAGGCTAAACTAGAAGATAGGCAGTGAAATCTAGGAGGAAGATGGAGTTAAAGTAACTGCGAGAAGCGTAAATTTAGTTGATTGTGAAGCTGGGATTGGAACCCAGGTCTGTTGATTTTCCAAAACCCGATCAGGAACACACCCTTTGTTAAGCTCTGCAGTAGACTTGGGTACTGGTTGAGGCGTACATTGAATTGGCAATGTCTTTACAACACAAAAGAGAGGGGAAGATAAATTTAAGGTAGAAAGGTGAAGGAGCCCTAGTTATTTAAAACCTGCAATTTAGTATAATTGGTGATTGTAGTTAATATTGAGTAAGGAGTAACTGGCATCTTGACCAAAGAATTGCCGTGGAGTGTCAGGATATTTACCGTGGCCCCCCCCCCCCCCCCCCCGCCCCATTCCCTCAGACTGATGATACTATTTTCCAGTGTCTTCCTTTGGTTTGTTTCATGAAAGTTTAATAAAATGTATAATTGTTTATAAATATGTAATAGTAAAATTAAAAAATTGTTAAATGAGGAAAGTAAATTGCAGTACGATACTGGACATTCTGACTGCACTGTTTTTAAGAGGATAGAGCACAATGTGTATTGTCTCCTGCTGATTTTGCAGTTTTTTCCCAGAATTGTAGTTTTGGAGTGTTGTGTGTATTTTTCCAAGAGAAGCTTGGAGATTCCCGTTAATTGCCTTTTTGTAATTGAAAGTTGTGCGAAGATGTTTTGTTTTCTGTAAATAGTAATTGGATAAGCTTCAGTCTAAAATGAAAGGTAGCAAGTTTAGTTCATGGTAAATAACATTGATTATGCTATTCAAACATTAATTATCAGGAACAAAAGATTTTAGACAACTAGCTTTTTTTTTTTTATCAGTATACAAACGTCTACAGAATTTATTTTCTATTTTGTGAACCCCTTATTCAGGGTATTATGTATGTCCCAGTCCCTGATGAATACTAGTCATAAAATATTGAAATGCGTTGCCTCTATGCAGAACTGTTTTTTTTTAAGGCATGCGGAAAGCAAATATGAATGTTTTGGGGGGCATCAACCTTCCAGGAAAATGGATAGAGCCCTATTCTAAAGTCTTTTGGTCATTTGGTTTAAATTATTGACAAAAACCCTGCTAACTTGTTAAATTACGTGTACATGGATGTTGCTCCTTCCAGGTCTTGTTGTTTCTTACCCTCCATTCATGGAGGACCCTGGAAAGAGCAGACCGTTTATGAGTTCCGAATCTCTTGAGGTTTTCAGAATGGGCATCATCAGAGCTTGGGTTCAATCTGTAACAAATCTTTATTACTATTAAAAATTCCAGTGTCTCAGCTGATGTTTTAGGGCAGTGATTTCCCTGTGTGTGGCGTTGGCCTTATAACATAGCCTTTTTTTGCCAATATTTTTATTTTTTATGGATGTTTTAAAATGGCTCAAGAAACCCTGAGTGTCTGTGAAATAGCGTTGTCTAGATAGGTACTGAGCCTTCTCACTAGCTTGTGGGGTTTTTTTCTTCCCTTTCTCTTGAGTTTATTTCAGCTTCTTAAGTCGTTTATAATGATAGGAAATTTTTATTAAGCCAATTTATGAAGTGTTTTTGTGTGTATGGTTAAAAAAAACCCATCTAACATGAGGTCTACCAACCCAACAAATTTTTAAGTGTAAAGTACATTATTAACTGTAAACGCGATGTTATACAGAGGAGCTCTAGAACTTTTCATCCTACTTGAAACTATACCCTGCTTGACCAGCAAATCTCCATTTCCCCTCCCCGTAGCCATCATTCTCCTTTCTGCTTCTGACTGTGACTGTTTTAGATACTTTATATAGGTGGAATCATGCAGTGTTTGTCCTTTTTTGAATGTCTAATTTCACATAATGCCCTTAAAGTTCATCCATGTTGTAGCATATGGCAAGATTTCCTTTTTTTGTGGTTGAAAAATACTGCAAAATGTATACACTTTTTTAAATCCATTCATCTATCAATGGGCTATGTAACGTTTTACCACTTCTATGAATTAGTAAGTTTAGTATCATATGTAATGCTCACATTTGCGTAAAAAAGGTAAGTGATACAAACTCAAAGTGAGTTATCAATTGATTGGTTTTATATTCCCCTCCCCACCAGATATCTGTGAAAACCGCAACAGCTGTGTTTCCTGTTTCAATGCTAGCCTTGATGCTACTACCTGCTTTTGGATAGAATGTAAAGGTAAGAAAAGATTGCTTCAATTTTGAGACTGCAAACTGTTTTGTTTTAACCTTTTAAGGTATTCTACAGGGCATTCCTGAACATTTGAAAATTATGTAGAAAATTTGGTATAGTGTGTTACTATTTATTTTGCAAGTCAAATACTTTTTTGTTAAAGTGCCCGTTGCTTCACATTTCCCCCCAAAACTCTGGTCTCCCATTCTGTCCCCACACCTTTAATTCCTTAGAGGGATAATTAAGGTTCAGTAGTTTTTATTTTTTTTAAGTTTATTTATTTATTTTGAGAGAGAGAGAGAATGTGCGTGAGCACGTGAGCTGGGGAGGGGCTGAGAGAGAGAATCCCAAGCAGGCTCTGTGCTGTCATCGCGGAGCACAATATGGGGCTCAAACTCAAGGACCGTGAGATCATGACATGAGCCAAAGTTGAGTGCTATGCTTAACCTACTGAGCCACCAGGTGCCCCAAGGGAAGAGAGATTTTAAAGATTTGGAAGATGGGGGGCGCCTGGGTGGCGCAGTCGGTTAAGCGTCCGACTTCAGCCAGGTCACGATCTCGCGGTCCGTGAGTTTGAGCCCCGCGTCGGGCTCTGGGCTGATGGCTCAGAGCCTGGAGCCTGTTTCCGATTCTGTGTCTCCCTCTCTCTCTGCCCCTCCCCCGTTCATGCTCTGTCTCTCTCTGTCCCAAAAATAAATAAACGTTGAAAAAAAAAATTAAAAAAAAAAATAAATAAAGATTTGGAAGATGGAATGGTACAGGTACACTGAAATTAGCAGTGAAAGAAAGTTGTAAAATTTTCCCCTGAAAATAGTTGTCTAGAAAAAGGAGGCATTTATCTTCTGTCACCTACTAGATGAACTATGGAGACCTTATAAAACTTTGTTGGATACTTAAATATGAAAGAAGAATGACATGGGAAGAGAGTAACCTTTAATTTGAGGGATAAAGAGCTACTTGAAGATACTTTGAAATGCCAATAACGTTTTTGTTAGGACTGCGGAATTATAGCATATTCTTTTTTTTTTTAATGGAAGGTAGTTGCATTTTTTTCTTATCAGTAAAACAGTCTATCTGGTTTATATGTATATAAAAGAAAAAGCTAACACTATATGTTAAGCTTCTTTGTGCGTTAAAAAAATGTAAGAATTGTGGATATATCACTACATAAAAAAGTTGAAAAACTTCTTTTAAAATTAAGGTATTAGCTTAGTTTGGGGTAAAGTTAATTTTTTGTTTAATAGTCCCTTTTTTTAAAGTCATAAAATGGAATTTAAGAGCACACGCCTCTTCTTCTTGGGACTTGGTGTATTTTTTGGGGCTCCAATACCTTACTGTAGGATATGTTGGAGAAAGGTCTCCCTTACTCTTGTTACAAGTGTGACCATCTAGGAAAGCAGTTTTAGAAAGTGTAGATGACCAAAGCAGAGATCTGGAACAGAGGTCCTGCTGCTGCTATCTGGGCACCTCCTGTGGTGACTAAGCCTTTATTAAAGATCTTGACTGTTTCTCCCTACTGACTCAGCCCTATTTGTAGATTCTAGCAACCTTCCCTGTATGGTAGTCATTGCCACAGTTCTGTGATCTGAGTGTTTTCCGATTTATCTGTTCAGTATATTTATGATGAGTTTAGAAGAATATTTGGAGGGATCCTATGTATTATTTCTTAAACAGTGGGGAAAAGAAAATGAAAGTTATTTTATCGGTCTGTGGACTTATAAAGTATTTATCCTTGAGTTTGATTTTTGGAAGCAATTCTGGAGCTTAGTAACAAAGTCAAAGATAATATAAGCAAGTGATTGGTGCTCTGTGTCTTTTCCTCCCCATAACAGACAAAAGCTACTGTTCCCATAATTCAACAGCTAGTGATTGCCAGGTGTTGAATGGCACAAAATTCTGTTCTGGTAAGTATTCACATTGACTGCCGGGGAAAGTGGCCAGAGAGGTGAGGAAGATCTTTGCCTCAGGAAGCCTTAGTTCAGTATTTGGTTTGCCATTTCCATAATTCTAATCTTGTTAGAAATTTGGATATAAATAACATATTCATACTGATACAAAGGACAATGTTTTGAATCTTAGTTTAGTGATTTGGCTGCACTGTGGAATGCTGCAGGTAGAGAGATACCTCCTCATTTACTTTTTTTCTTTTTTTTTTCTTAACTCTTCTGGAAACTCCCTGCATTTTAGACCTTCTCTTTATTTGCATTTTACAGGCCTAGACAACCTTGTTCTGGCACTTTTCTTGGTTGTGGTGCTGGTGATTGTCACATTCTCTAGCATAGTTTGTGTTAATGGTTGAATTTTTTCTGTATTCCTCTGTTTTCTCATTTTTTTTAAGTTTATTTATTTAGAGAGAGAGAGCAAGCAGGGTAGGGGGAGAGGGAGAGTGAGAAAGAGAATCCCAAGGAAACTCTGTGCTGTCAGCGTAGAATAGGGCTTGAACTCCCGAACTGTGAGAATGTGACCTGAGCTGAAACCAAGAGTCAGACGCTTAACCTACTAAGCCACCAGGCCACCCCTCTTTTTCTCATATTTGTACTTTAATTTGAGGAAATTGATTACTCTTTAACCATAACTCTTTGCTCAGGAAATAGTTTAAATTCCTAGATGAAACAACTGATTTTTTAAATAAGATTACAAATGGATAGGGAAGTCAATTTGTAATTTGGTGCATAGGTAATAATTAAATAGAGCAAAAGAGGTTTCTGGAGTGTGTCAGTAGCCTTGAATGACTACCTGTAACAATTTACTTTTAGTAGGCATTTTCCCATTCGAACTTGAACTTTGTGACTGAGAATTTCGTTAGTGTGAGGTCCATTATCCCTTATGTACAGTGAATATAGTATAGTTTAGGTGGTAAAAGAGCAAACAATTTTAGTATCTATTTTGATATATATTAGAAAACACTAATAACTATAATCAGACCTGTGATTTCATGATAATACTTTCTAGAAACAAGTATTTTTTTAAATGCTTGTTTATTTTGAGAGAGAGCGCACACGTGTGCATGCTGGTGGGGAGGGAGTGCATGGAGAAGAGGGAGAGAAGACCAAGCAGACTCCGAGCTGTCAGCGCTGAGCCTGACAAGGGGCTTAGTCCCATGAACTGTGAAATCATGACCTGATCCGAGATATCAAGAGTCAGATGCTTAACTGAGCCACCCGGGTGCCCCAAGTAAAACATTTTAAAAGATAGTAATTTAGAGAAAAATCAAATAAGTAATTATACTTATTTGAGGATGTATCAGAATTAGTTTGGGCAATGAAAGATAGGAAAACCCAAATTAGAGTGGTTTAAGCAACAGACAGACTTCACTCTTACGTAAAGGAAGTCTGGGCTCAGGTGTAGCTAGAGGGCTAGAGTAGTAGCTCTACAACCATTAGGAACTCGGGCTCTTTACTGTCATTCCTCAAGAATATCTCTGACCTTACTCTCCAAGGTGAGTGCTCCTATTCCAGCCATCAATTAGTATTCCTGCCAGCGGGAAGAGGAAAGAGAGAGGCCCACACCTACCTTACAGATGCTTTCTAGAAGTTACACTTGACTACCTAGCTGCAGGGGAGGCTAAAAAAATGTCTGTCTTTCCTCAGGGGAAGGAAGTGTCAACCTTAGATTGGTGCTTCCATTTCTAAAGAAGGGGAGATGAGTATTCAGAGCAACTGTCAGTCTCCTCCGCAAGGTGGTACTTAAATGCCAAAATTATAAAAGTGGTATTTAAATGACTGCAATTTGGAAAATAGTATAATAGATTGTGATATTTGAGATTGCTTGGACTTAATGTTTGTTTCTTTTAAATAGAACCCGAGCCCACTCTGATGCCAACCAATTCTACAGGTAATACAAGATAATTGATTCTTTTCCTCTTCTTCAGGATTTGCAAGGCCTTCTGATGGATAATTTGTTAGCAATTAAGTACCTAAAAGTTTAGTATAATTTAAAAAACTAGTAGATGTATTTAGTTTTGGACCATAATTACATTAATATGAATTGTCTGTGACAGCGACACATAACTCCAGTGTTTCATATTCATTGTACATGGGAGGATTTGCTGTATCTTTGGACATTGAGTTCACACACTGCTTTTTGTGGATTTTGTGGAAATCTTGGGAAATACAGAAGCCTAAAGGAAATTAAAATTCCCTATAATTCCCATCATCCAGAGGTACCAAAATGTTTTCATTGATAAAGTTATTCCAGTCTCTTCTGTAGGTATATCTAAATAAATATACTTACTATGAAATTGGATGGTATGTTCATACATGTTTGAATTTGTTTTTCCTCTTACTTAAACATTGTTGTATGCGCTTTAACCATGCTGCACTTGGTTGGATAGTTAGGTCATCGGTCATTCTCCATGCAGTGGAGAATATGTGCTGTTAACTCTGATAGGATTGATTCAAACAGCATTCCTAGGTCAGAGGATAGAATTATTTTAAGGCTTTAAGTACTGATTGCTTTCCAGAAAGATAGGCTTTTCAGCCTAAACAGCTGGAAAGTTTTTCGCTACACCTTCTTTCTCCTTCTAAAAATCTTTACCAAAGTGATAGAAGGAGTAAATCATTAAAAAAAAAAGTCTACTCCAGGAAAGTACTAGGCTTAGATGATTGGGATTGGAGATAGAAGTAAAACAGCATTTTGTCTGCGGTAGGAACTATGAAAAGGGTAAGTAAGCCCAGTGTGTTGAGATGTTTGTAGGAAGGTGTGTATGTGGAATAACGGCGTATGTGGTGAAGGTGATGAGAAAGAGTGTAATGAGGTCAGGGAATTGCATTTGGAGTACACGGTGAGGAAAAATTGAGCTGGACAGTAACAGGTCAAGAGCCAGATTGGGAGGACAGATTGGAAGGAAGACAAGAGTGGACACATGGAGATTGGATAACCTGTGGTGGTAATTCTGGGGAACTACTAGGGGAAGAGTTGCAGGTGTATGCAAATAGACTTAGGAATTAGAAGTGATAGAACTTGATGGAGGTGATGGCACAGCTCTTTGCTAACCGTACAGATTAAGCTGATCAGTAGGCAGTAGTAGTGTCCACAGGAGCAGCTTATAGAAAGGAGAATAGGGTTTAAGAACCAAACTCTATGGAACAGTAACACGTAAGAGTTGAGAAGAAGAGGACTGGAGAGGAAACGGAGTAGGGATGGGCAGAGAAGTGTGTCCAAGAAACTTTTATTTTCAGAGGAAAAAGTGGTCAGATGTTGTAGTAAGGGCCAGAACTCATTTTGAAAGACTTTGGCAGTGGTGAGCTAGCTAGTTACCAGGTTTTGCTTGCCAGTTGTGCATAGCTCTTCCCAGCTACACATTCAGTGATACCATGTTGGTGGCTTGAATTACAGTGGAAGTATTCATGCCATAGAGATCTGCAAATGCTACAGAACTTGCGGAGAGCACACAGTAGTAGCACCATTAGAAGTCACTGACTAGGAGGATGTTAAAATTGATGAAAGCAGAGACTTTGAGGGAAAATTAGTTTCCTAAAGGTGGGATGTAAACCGGAAGCAGGAGCGGGGGAATCAATTTCTTTAAAACCATTGTGTGTTCACTTTTAATTTCTCCTCCATGGATCTTGATGTAGTTTTCATGCTTGTTCTGCACTGAGTTCTCCAGCGAACTACGATGGAGTCTTCCTTGTTTTGTCTCTTTGGGTTCTGTAAAGTGGAAAGAAGCCAGGGCTTGCTTATAGAAAATGCACCAATTGCATGGCAATTAGTGGTTGAAAAACAAACCTTTACATGGTCTCTTTTCATACCTACTGTGGAAAGAGAGCAAGTGAAAAATTAAGGGATTATTAAAGAAATGATTCAAAGGGAATCTGATTTACTTAGAAAGGTGTTCACTGGGGTTAATTATAATAGTCTTCTGTCATGACGTATATATATTATAAATAAATATGAATGTCAGTAAATAATACCATAACAGAATGACTAAATTATGTTAGAAATGTGGTCGGAAATATTTGTAATATATTAAGTGGAAGACAAACTATTAAGTTTTAGCACATTTTTAAATTTTTTGTTACATACATGCCTAGAGAAGTGGCTGGCTGGAAGCAGCATGAGATTACTTAATTTACTGTATTTTCTATATTTCCATCACCAGTAGCAACTTTTGTAACTGCTGAATTATTTTTTTTTAATGAAAGGAACTGTGGGTCAATAGAAGTATATTCCCTATTTCAGTCAAAAGTAAAAGTGTGTGAATGTTTTGCCTATTTATAAAAAAAGAATTAGTTTGTACCACATTCAGAGGATTGTTCGTGAGAATCAGATAGAAAATGTGTAAACTTTCTTTCTCTACCATCCATTGTCAGACAAAATTTGTTGATAGTGTTGTTTTAAGATTGAAAGGAATATATGTCTAATTTGTAAAGTGTTAGTGTGTTACACAGAATGTATAAGCAACAGAAACTTTTAAAGGATTAAAAGTCTGAAAATAATCATACCCTTTAATCTAGGAATTCTGTATAAGAATCAGTCCTATCAGAGATGAGATCAAGTATTTCCCTGCAAGATGTTTGTGGTACGGAGAAATGAGAGATGACCTAATTGTCTCTCCAAGAGCAGGGTAGGGGAAATGTATGCAGCAATGCTCATATTGAGAGAAAGGGATACAGACTTGTATGAGAATTTCTGTCAGTATTGTTAACATGTCTTTTATTAGAATCTGTTAGTACTAACAGAGTACTATTAGTAATATTAGTACTAACAGAGGTCTGTTAACACATTGCTTTAGTTCCTAAAATGTGCTTACATTCAGGTTAATTCTCACAAGTGTTCATTTCTTTATAGGTATTTTCAGATAAAAAAATTATTGGAATTCATGTAGTATGGTAGACTAGAGCTACCTTTGGGCTCTTATAATTTAAATTGGGGGTCTTTGACTCCTGAGGACCTGTTCTTTTATAAATCGAATTTTATTGAAACAGAACCATGCCTGTTCAGATGCATGGTGTCCTGGGCTGCTTTTGCACTACACAGTGTACAAAGCTTAAAATATTTACTGTCCGCCTTTTTAAGAAAAGTTTACCATCCCCTTGAAAGAAAGAAGTTAAGGCTATCTTGATACCTACTGGAGAAGTACTGAGTTGCACCTGTTTCTTACGATGACTTTTTAAGTTAATAGTTTTTGCCACAGAAGCAAGGTTATTTATCAAAACAAAACAAAACAAACCTATATAGTTCCCTTACTTAAACACTAATTCTTGCCCTTCTGTGCGTTTTTTTGCGAATTTTTTCCAGCTGTGTAAATTCCATACTTAAACGTGTACATAGATGTTAACATGGATACAATTTCGTGTTTGCTTGATGTTTTCAGAAGCATTTAAAAGCTAGTATTCTTGATGTTTTCAGAAGCATTTAAAAGCTAGTATTCTGGCTACGTAGATAAGTTAGTGAACCATTAACTGAAACTTGGCCTTTATTCTTTAAAAAATGGAAAGCATGTGAAATTGGTAGCATTATTTTTAAAGACAAATTGTTAGATATTGGGAGGTTTGGAAATTTATGTTTTTAATAAGTTTTGTTTACATTCCAGCTAAAACCACAACTCCGCCTTCCTCTTCTACAGCTACCACCACAGTTACTACATCAGGTAATTGAGGGTTTTTTAAACTAACAGTGAGGTAGGATGTGTGTGCAACATTGCCTTGTACTGTTTCTGCCACCATTTTCCAGTTTTATTCATGAATGGTAGTGAGTAAAACTCATCTCTTACATTTTGGAGGACCAAGACAGTTGGCTGTTAGAGCAGTAATGGTAGGTTTGCTGAGAGTCCTTCTCATTTGTTAATGTGTAACCGCATTTGGCATGACTTGTTAGAGTTAAATGTGGTAATGTTTCTCCAAAACCTTTTAGTACAACTTGTAGGCGAGATTTCATTTTTTATAACTTAACAAATTAAATTACTAAACACTGATTAGTTGTGTGCTGTGTTAGATCATGGCAATTAGAGTGAAGATAATATAGCCATCTTTTTTTGAGGAAAGGTCTAAAAAGCCAAGCTTGCACTGCCAAATATGTACCTCAGCCATATTTCTCACCATTTCTTTTTTTTTTTTTTTTTTTTTGGAGAGAGAGAGCGTGTGCCCATGGAGCGCACGTGGGGGAGGGGCAGAGGAGGAGAGAGAGAGACAAAGGGAGAGAATCTCAGGCAGGCTCCGTCCCATGACGCTGTGATCATGACCTGAGCCAAAATCAAGAGTTGGATGCTCAACCAACTGAGCCATCCAGGCGCCCCCTCACCATTTCTTTACATTCCTTTATAATTCTTTTTTTTTTAATATGAACTTTATTGTCAAATTGGTTTCCATACAACACCCAGTGCTCATCCCAAAAGTTGCCCTCCTCAATACCCATCACCCACCCCCCATTAACCCTCAGTTTGTTTTCAGTTTTTAAGAGTCTCATGCTTTGGCTCCCTCCCTCTCTAACCTCTTTTTTGTTTTTTTTTCCTTCCCCTTCCCCATGGACTTCTGTTAAGTTTCTCAGGATCCACATAAGAGTGAAAACATACGGTATCTGTCTTTCTCTATATGGCTTATTTCACTTAGCATAACACTCTCCAGTTCCATCCACGTTGCTACAAAGGGCCATATTTCATTCTTTCTCATCGCCACGTAGTATTCCATTGTGTATATAAACCACAATTTCTTTATCCATTCATCAGTTGATGGACATTTAGGCTCTTTCCATAATTTGGCTATTGTTGAAAATGCTTCTATAAACATTGGGGTACAAGTGCCCCTATGCATCGGCACTCCTGTATCCCTTGGGTAAATTCCTAGCAGTGCTATTGCTGGGTCATAGGGTAGATCTAGTTTCAATTTTTTGAGGAACCTTCACACTGTTTTCCAGAGCGGCTGCACCAGTTTGCATTCCCACCAACAGTGCAAGAGGGTTCCCGTTTCTCCACATCCTCTCTAGCATCTATAGTCTCCTGATTTGTTCATTTTAGCCACTCTGACTGGCATGAGGTGATATCTGAGTGTGGTTTTGATTTGTATTTCCCTGATGAGGAGCGACGTTGAGCATCTTTTCATGTGCCTGTTGGCCATCCGGATGTCTTCTTTAGAGAAGTGTCTATTCATGTTTTCTGCCCATTTCTTCACTGGATTATTTGTTTTTCGGGTGTGGAGTTTGGTGAGCTCTTCATAGATTTTGGATACTAAAAGTGCATCTGAAGAGTAACTTTTAATTAATAATTTGTATTATGAATGAAATCATATTCAGTTTATGCCACAGATGATTGTAGGTTATAAATCCTCCTCTCTGTATTTAAAATACTGTTCTTTTATGGTTTTTTTATTCTTTTCGCTTATTCTTGTGCTACCTTTCTCTTGGTTTCAAGGAAGCCATTTTGTCTTCACAGGAAGAAATACGGAACAGTTGTAATTAATTTTAAAGTGGCCAGCTTATCAAACAGCCACTACAACCAGTGTCTATTTGATATTCGATTTAAGAAAAAAGAAAAATTTAAGTATGAAATTGCTTTTTAGTAAAATGGATGGTGTTTCACTTGAAACGTTTTACTCCCTGAAAAGAAATTTATGTTTTGTTTTCTCTAGAAACATTTTACTCTCTGGAAAAGGAATTCAAACTTTTTTGCTTTTTTTCCATATGGTTTGGTAATGCTCATAAAATTTGCCGAGCAAGATTTACGGTACCTTTAATAATGAGGTTTTTTGCTTGTTGGAATTATAAATTGTAGATACTTAAGGTAATTTTTGCGATTTGAAGAATTGCGACCAAATTTTTACTTACCTTATGTAGTTAGTAAAATTCAAAAGTTGTACGAATGTTCAAGTATTTACCGTAACAAATATTAATATTTACTGTAATAATTAAGTAAAAATATATGTAGTCTGAAGAAATTGCACATTTTTAAAGTGCTTTACATGTACCCAGGGCATAATTTATGTACCAGGAGAATGTTTTGCTGTTAGTTTTGTGTTTGGATTTGTATGGTAGCATTGACTGCTTGATACTGCTGGATGGAGTGAATGGGATTGATAAATGGTTGTTTTCCTTAATTAGGGATAGATTCTAGCTGTAAAGACTTGACCCAAGAGCAAATGCTTTATAGAATTGAGCACATGGCCAAGTAGAAGCTCAGGTGGGTCTTGAAATTATGATAGAGGATCGTGAGACTTACCAAGTGTTATTTTTCCGCTCTTATTTAACAGGTACGACTAATACCACTTTAACTCCGACTTCACAACCTGGACGGAAGTCTACCTTTGATGCAGCCAGTTTCATTGGAGGAATTGTCCTCGTCTTGGGTGTGCAGGCTGTAATTTTCTTTCTCTATAAATTCTGCAAATCGAAAGAACGAAACTACCACACTCTGTAAACAGACCCATTAAATTAACAAGGACTGGTGTATAACTCACTGAAACCAAAATATTATCTTTCAAGATGTCCCACATGGAAGACGCTATTCCAGGATCTTTAAATTTTCAAAGGATGCATATAGGATGTTTTGGAGCATCGTCCTTGAAGAAAAATCACTTAAATCATTTTGCTCAACAGGAATATTTAAAATATTCTGCATGAATCCTTGTGGCTGTCTTCTTTTATTTTAAATGGCTGCTGCTGTGGGATTATGTTCTCTCTTCTTGACGTACCAAATGTAACTCTGTAAGTGATGGAAAACATTGTCCTGCGCAGACAACCTCATGACTCTTTTGGCAGTTTAAATTTAGTCATTTTAAAGCCTGAAAGCTGCATTATTTTCATCCTAACTCAGGATGTAGTCTAGTGACCAGAATTGAGAAGAATGTGCCAAATGAGCATCAATCGGGTGGACTTTTGGCTGTCCTTTCAAAAGTGGAATAAATCTATAAATTTAGTATCCTTAGAGTAAACTGTATCTTTAGAGTAAAATTTTGTGCTCAATAGCAGTTATTTTTTCTACATTAGAAATAAGATGCCACACAGGGAATTACATTCCAGATTTAAAGGAACGAATGGAAAGGATACAAACCATTAAAGAATAGCAGGTTATTGTTCATCTTTGTAAAGCACCTTATATCACTGAGAAAATAAAGAACAGTGCCTTAAAAGACAGACTGAAAGGTAGACTGTAACTTAAAATGTTTGTGATTTGTTCTTTTACATTAAGGAAGGTAAAGGTTGGTCTGATGATGTAACTGTTGACAAGATGTAGTAAACCTGCTTTTAGATATCATACTGTTAGTATTTAACTAAATACTATTTGATTTCAGACCTGAGCAAGTTAAGCTAAAAGATATTCCACAAAGCTGAAAGCCTTCACATATTGAACCTCCCAGCATTTTTCTTAGGCTTTTAAAAAGTATAAAGCTAAAGTTGATTTAATTAGATTTTCCTTTGTACTTCAACACTGTTGTACCATGAAAGGATTTTCACCAAGCTTTCTTGAAAAGTAACTATTTTTATGAGGCAAGAAGGAAGGAAGTTGTTTTAGAGTCATTTACTAGTTCTTTAATGAGACAATCACTTTAAGTTTTGAGACCAGAAATGTGACCAGTGTAATTTTAGAAAATCTAGGGATTTTTGGTTGATTGGATTACTGTAGGTTTTTAATGATGATTGCCCAGGATAGACAGATTGTGCTTTCTCTTCTTTCTCTTTCTCTCCTGCTTTCTCCTTCTCTCCTGTCCTTTCTTTTTAGTTTCTGTTCCCGTAGTATAATATAAGCATGCATACTTTAAGTTTTTTTTTTAGTTTTCTTAGGCAGCACTAGTTTTTTCAGTTTTAGAGGGAGACTTCTCCCCTGCCTTTGACATATTGGATTAGTTCAGAGGTTTACAATAGTTTTAAGAAAGTTTTTGCTTTTCTAGGTCATTAAAGGTTTTTAGTTTCTTTAGCCTCTAAGGGCTGAGTTTAGCACTTGGTTTTCAGTATTTTGTAGTAGGAGATGACAAGTTGCTTTGGTCCATTTCATTAGCCAAAATTCCTTGCGTTTAGATTATATTCAAGGTTCTTAAAATGAAGATTTACTGTTTCTTTGTTACTTGCTGGTACAGCTAAAGTTTGTTTTACTTGCACATTTGTACATACACCTAATCTTTTCAAGTGCCTTAATTGTTTAAAATCTCTGGCTTCAAAGGTTTTTGGGAAAAGGTAGGTTTACCTCACATTTTTGTGTTTTCATTAGTAATATTCATTAGTAATTAGTTCTAGGAACCTCACAAGAACTTTTATTATGGTGCCATGGCTGTTAGTTTTTAGTGCTAGAAGATCCAAGATTCATTTGAAAATATACAGAATTTCCATTCCTCCCAAAGTGGCAAAATTTAGCTACAGTGGTATAATTATCATTTACGTAGATGTGAATACCTTATCACACATTAATGTCCATACAGCAATTTTTGTGATAATGTAGCTGATGGCGCCTTCTCATCTTCTGTAATTTTGAATATTGCTCTAATAACAAAACCATAATATGAAACCAGTTAGATTTTGCAAGAAGAGCTCTTACAACAGAACTCATGGCCTTTTCCCCCCTTCCTTTAGCAATTTACTATCTTGAGCCATTAAAAATTTGGTTTTTTTAAAATCCAGAAGGTATATAGAAACCTTTTCAGATTTTCTTCTGATTTGTTCATGCGGATGTAGTTCTATCAAAACACCTTACTTTACCTTACAGATATTTGTTGCACAGGCAGACACTGCTGTATTTAGAAATTTCTATTTCAGTTCATTAAAAACTGTAAAACCAACCTGTATCATGTACCAAACTGATTTAAAATAAATCTACATGTTTATTGAATCAATCTGTTCAATTTTTTATTAACTGAAGTGTTTTTTGCATTTTGATTATGAAATTTAATGATAGTGAATTTACCTTAACAGTCTGTTTGGAGATGGGTTGTCTACTCTATTGTTATACAAGACCAGCAGATAGTAACTAAGATACGGATTCGCCAGTGGAGGACAGAGCTTTAGAAATTTTTAGTGCTTTAGTGTTTACAGCACTTTACTGATGTTGGTCCATTGTCTTCTCAATTGCATTGTTCTCTGAGAAATCAGTCATCTTCATCTTCTGTTACTCAGTACATATCTTTGTTTTCCTTTGTTGCTTTTTAAGATTTTTTTCTCTATTGCTGGTCTGAGCAATTTGATTATGACATGCTGTGCTATCATTTCTTTTGTTTGGGGTTTGTTGGGTCTCTTAGGATATATGCCTTTCATCAGATTTGGGCATTTTTCAACTACTATTTCTTCATATATTTTTTTCTGTCCTTTCCCTTCTTTGTTAGGGGTTCTGATGACACACAGGCTGCCGGAAGTTGACACACAGCTGATCCATGCACTATTCGGTTTTTTAATCTTTCTCTGTTTCATGTCAGATTACTGTCTTCAAGTTCACTAATGCTACAGTCTAAACCTAATGATAGTTTCATCCAGTGTGTTTATCATTTCAGGTGTCTTCATTTTTAGAAGTTCATTTTTCATGGTTTTTATCTTCCATGTCTACATACTCAATCTTTAGTTTTTGATCATACAGTGGTATGCTTTTTAAAAAAAATTTTTTTTTTCAACATTTATTTTATTTTTGGGACAGAGAGAGACCGAGCATGAACGGGGGAGGGGCAGAGAGAGAGGGAGACACAGAATCTGAAACAGGCTCCAGGCTCTGAGCTGTCAGCCCAGAGCCCGACGCTGGGCTCGAACTCACAGACCGCGAGATCGTGACCTGGCTGAAGTCGGACGCTTAACTGACTGCGCCACCCAGGCGCCCCTGCTTTTTTTAAATGCCTGTGTCTGCTAATTCTAATACTGGGTCAGTTTGATTTTTTTTGTTCAGTATGGGTCATACTTTTCCTGTTTCTTTGCATGTAAGTTGTAAGTTTCTTTGCATGTAAGCTGTTTTGATGCTGGTTATTTTGGTTCTGGGACACAGAAAACAAACAGTATGATCCTTCTAGGTCTTGCATTTAAGTTTTGTTAGGTGAGAGCAGAGCAGCACTTATTCTAGGGTTCCCCAGTTCTGAGGCAAGACCTTTCTGTATACCCAGTGTCCCTGGATTATGGGGCTTTCTAGTCTGGGCTAGTGGGAACAGGCTCTGTTCCTAGCCTGGGGCAGGCTCCCAGATACTTTTTCCTGGAAAGCTTCCCCAGCCTTTGGTAGTTAGCTTGTGCACGTGCTGACCGATATGTTGCTGAGACTACATTCTGCAGATCTTTGGAGCTCCTCTTTCCGCGGCTTGCCACCCTGGTCCTTTGCTCTGGGAACTCCAGCTGCTTTGAACTGCCTTGACTTTAGCTCCATCTGAACTCAGGAAGTCCACTGGGTTCTGTCTGGGTGTCCTCCCTACATCATTGCTTAGAAATGCAAGGCAGTAAGCTGGGTTGATCGTTCCCTGTCTTTCAAGGATCACTGTTCTTTGCTCAAAGTCAAATGTATTGGAAACTACTGTTGCGTGTGTGTTGTCCCGTTTTTCAGTGTGAGGGTAAGTACAGTTTCTTCATCTTCGCCGGAAGAAAATGTTCAAGATGAGGATTTTATTTTATTCTATTTTCAAGATGAGCATTTTAAAGTCTTAATTTTTAATTTAAGGAATATGAAAATACGTATTCTCAAATTATTTTTCCTTAAACTATTCAACATAAGTATGTCGGCTTTGACCATCCCCCAGTCCCTTCCCCTTGCTTGCCCTCCACTTGCAAAAATCAATAATGGAACTGGTCTGGTGTGAAACAAACCCCCACCCCCCCCCCAGCATTTTTTATGTACTATTACGTACCCTTAGAAAATACATAATGTGGATTTTTATTTTAACATCATCCTGCAACTTCTTTTCGCTTACTACTTGCAGATCTTTACAAGTTAGTGTACGTCGCACACCAAATTCTTAAATTCTCTGTTGGCATATGTAGTATGAGTATCATAAGCATCTATTGAAGGATCGTAGGTTTGCAATTTTTAGTTTTTACTGACACTTCTGCAGAGAGTATCTTTGCGCCCTTCCCCTTGTTTATGTGTGAATATATCTCTAGAGTAAATGCAGAGAAGTGGAAATCTGCATCATAGGGTTTACACTTTGAAAATTTTAACAGACTGAGATTGCCTTCCAGTTCCCACAAGCTGGGGTAGCAGGATGTTTTCTGTATCTTTTCCATCTGATATTGGCAAAGTTAAATTTTAATACTCTGGTAAGTGAAAGGATTTATTTGCTTATTTGTACTTCCTCTGTGAATTGTGTTTTTCTTTTGTCTTTTCTTAACAATTGGAGGGTTTTTTATCTTGAAATATGCTGGGAGCTAATCTGTGGTCAGTGGATTTTCATCAGTCAATATTTTCTTCAAGTCTTTGTGGTGTCTTTATCATCAGAGGACAATCAGGAGACAAGCCACATAATAAGAACAGAGAAAGTTCAGCATAAAATATTAACTATAAGAGTGGATTGGAGTGATGGGGCATATTATCTGTAATATTTTAAGAAATAATTTGCCAAGCAGTAAAGAATTCAAAACGATACTGGCATAGCAAGTATAAGAAGTGGCCACTAACTGTTCTCAAGCTGAATTCCAGAAATAATTTCAGGATACAACCTTGGCTCTGTGGATGAAGTTAGTGGTAGCTGCAAATCCACTGCTAGGCAGCTATGCCTGGGGGGATGTTATCCCAGTGGTAATCTGAAGTCATCCAAGGGGATGCAGGGTAAACCAGGCACAGGAGGTACCACACCAGTGATACTCCACTGCTAAGCTAGGTGCACTGCTCAAGTTTTGCCCAGAACCAGGGGGAAAAAAAAAATCCCTCCAGTACCGTCTGCTGACAAAACACACACCACCTAGCTAAGAAATATTCATTCATATGGTTCAGCTCCATTTTCATTCTAATGGTGGAGCAGGCAACAGGTGGATTCAAACCTTAAAGCCCTTGTTTCTGTAAATTATGACCTCCCACTACTTAATATTTATTTTGCCTTTGCTGAGAACCTCAAGTGGTTGATTGTTTTCCTGGTGGTGGCCCAAATATTACTACCAAAAGGTCTGAGTCACACTGTTCTACCTGCTTTGATTGTTATAGTTTTCATCAACCTTTTCTATTGGGTATGGAAGTACTCAGGCACCCAGAGAATCCCGTGTTCCAGATGTGGTCTTTCCTCCATTGTGTGCCAGCAGTACAATCTCCCCTTGGTAATCATGATTGACCATTCCAGCCGGTAGAGTAACACCTTTTGCTGCCTATCGGTTTAGCGGCTTATGAATCCCATCCCAAGATGGCCAAATGGCAGCCTCATCTTAGATCTTGTATCAACAGACCCATCGTTGTGTCCCTGGTTGAAACATACCTTGGGAACTAAGACCTCCAAACCAGCACAGCTTGAGATTGTTGAGAAGTATAATCATGAGGTGTCCCTTCCATTTCTACCCCTTGATTCCTGGATTCATATGTCACCTCCTGTGAAACAGCTCCATCCTTTCAAGGTGGTATCTCCCAACTGTCACAACTGAGTTTTCAGTGAATTATTGCACCTTTCAATTAGACCAGCCATTTCCATGTGTCCAGGGATGTTAATTTCGTGGGCATGAGTTCACTGCAACATTTCCTTTACTGTGAAATGGTTTATTCCTTAATTAGAAACAATGCTATAGGAAATGCCATGATAAAACATTCTGTGAGTATGTGCATCAGATGGTAGTGCTGGCAGAAGCATTATAGACACAGGAAGGCAATCCAAATCCAGAATATGTCTATTCTACTGAAGAATCTCTTCTATGATGGCAAAGGCCCAATTTAATAGCCATCACGTGGATGGCTGTTACCCACGGGAGTAATACCATATTGCAACCTCAGTATTGGTCTTGGCTCTTCACAGATTAGGCAGTTGTCAGTAATGTATGACAGCCTTAATAAGGGAAAATCCATGTTGTTGGCTGAGACCATGCATAGCCTCTAGCTCTGCCACCATGGCCACGTTGTTCATGGGTCCATTGAGCAAGCACTGGGGTAGCTGGGGAATTAGACTGATACCCATAGAGTGCATTATATTATCCACCCGATTAAGAGCCTTCTCTGCTGTAGATGCCCTTTGCTGGGCACTGACATGGGACACAAATACCTTCACAGTGTGTTCCCATTCAAAGATCCATCCATGTACTTCTTCCCAGATTTACTCGTCACCAACCTTTAATGTTTCTTCCAAGTCCCTGACTACACAGCCAGACCATTAGCAACTACCCAGGAATTAGTGTGGATATGTACTTCGGTCCATGTCTCAGATCAGACACAGTGGACAACCAAATGTACTACTCGCAATTCTCACAGGGAAGGGTTTTCTTTCACCCCCTTTTGGTTCACCCCCGAGTGGAACATAGTGCTGCAGCTATCCTCTTTTGGGTGGAACCAATATGTCATACAGACCTGTCTATAAACCAGGCTTAATTTTTTTATTGGCTAGCTAGTTGTTAGAAACACCTAAGGCTAGAGCTATTGATTGAGGAAGAGGATGCAACAGAAGTTGGTGTTGAAAGAGTCTGAGCCACATGTTCACAGAAGCTATCTGTACATTTCAGACCTGCTCAAGCAGGGTAGGTCAATTGTATACTATTTCCATTGATGATAGATTGCTGCTGTGCATGCTCAAGTTTATGACAAGGTGGATACTCCAACATCAAATCATGATGTGAAGCTCAGGCCACATGTTCACCTACTATCCCATGGTTGGGTAATAAGTCTCAAGCAAGGCACAAGTGGAATAGTTATCCTCAGCAGAGGGCATAGATGTGCTTCAAAAATCTTAGGGTTCTGCCCTGGGATTCAGCTTGATAAAGACTCCATACATGCCAGGATACTTTTAGTATCATTAGCTTTGGACCTATAGATCTTAGGACCCATATGACAGCACAGCTCATACTGTAACTCAAACTCATGACAGAGCCTTCACTTGCTCTGGTCCCCACTCAAAGTTAGTAATCTTATACATTGCTCTATGAGTGGGTTGAAATAGCAAACTCAAATATGGTACATGTTGCCTTCAAAATCCAAAAAGACCTACTGCGCATCATGATTTTGTTTTTCATTGTACATAGTGTGAGATGAAGCAACCTGTTTCTTCTTGGAAGGGGATATTTAACGTGCTCCAAACCATTGCACCCCCAAGAAGCTTCATTGGGATTAATAGGCCTAAAGTGTTGTGGAATTCTGCCCTTTACCTTCTAGTTCTTGTAGGTCTTACTAAGGCACCTAAGCACTTACTACCTTCTATTCATCATACACAATCAGCATAATGTTATCAACATAGTGGACCAATGTGATTTTTGTAGACTATCAGATGATCAAGGTGTCTACAGACTATATCATGGCAGGGAACAGAATTGAAAAAGCCTTAAGTCAAGACTTTGACAGAATACTGCTGCTCTACCAGGTAAAAGCAAACTGCTCCTCATGGTCCTTACAATTTGTTATGGAGCGAAAGGCATGGCAAATTAGGTCAATAACTGCATAACAAATACCAGGAAGATATTCATTTACCCCTGTAAGATACTACATCTGAGATAGCAGCTGCAATTGGGATCACTATCTGATTAAGGTGTGAACTTGATAGTCCCTAGTCATTTTCCAATATCCACCTATTTTCTGCACAGGCCAAAGTGGTGAGTTAAGTAGTGATGTGATAGGTATCATCACCTTTGCTTCCTTCAAGTTTTGATGGTGGCATTAATCTCTGCAGTTTCCCCAGGGATGTAATGTTGCTTCTAGTTTGCTTTCTCAACAGGGAAAGTTCCAGGGGCTTCCAATTATCCCTTCCTACTATAATGAGACTTCAACTCATGGGTTAGAGAACCAATATAAGAGTCCTTTCAGTTGTTAATTATGTCTGTTTCAATTATACATTCACAAACTGCAGACATAAAACCACCTGGTGGGTCCGTGGACCAACTGAGTCCACTGTAATTTGAACATGTGACTCCTTCTATTACATCACTGTAAGCCTTCAGTTTGCTGAGCCACAGTGTGTTTTGGGTTCCCAGGAATTAGAATTAATTTAGACGTAGTGTTTATTCTTCACCAAATGGTCTGGATGTTCTTCCTTTCTGATGAACAGTAACTCTAGCAAATGATGGAAGATCCCTTAGTAAAATGTTTGGAAGAAGATTTACAATGTACCTGCAGCAGTGGTATAGGGTCCTTTCTCAAGGGGGATCCAGCCTCCCCTGCAGGCAAGGGGCCCTGCTGTGTGAATTGACTTAGGTATGGAATCTGGGTGAGAGACTGTGACACTCCACTGTGCTGACTCAGGCCAGGCTTAGGCTACCAGAGTTTTTCCTCCTATATAGATGGAGTAGTATTCTAGTTGGCTGCCCATATGTTCTCATTTGGGGGAACACATTGACCAGCAAAAGATGTCTCTGTGCCAGGTCTGTAATCTGACTACTGAGATGTCCCTGCTGCCCTTTTTATAATAGACATACCCACCTTGTCCTTGGCAATTGCCTGCTGCTATTCTGGGATTGCATCCTGACCACTGAAATGAGAGAGCCCATCTCAACAGCAGTGAGAAATGACAGGACTGTGAATTCAACTGTCATTGTAATTCAGCGTTCTGCACAATTAAAATGTGTGTTTCATTTTTAGCAGTATTACCCCTGTGACTACAAGAAATAGATTTAAAAGGCTACTGTGGAAGCCTAAAGGACCAGTACTTGTCATTTTCTTCTTAAGTGCTGAAGTGCATCCAAAAAAGTCCATCCCACACCCCAGTATTTATGGTCATCATTACTGCCCTGAGAGTCAGTGTGGTAGCAATTTGGGCTCCCAAAGCACACACTTCAGTAGGTACTTTATCACCACCTACCGTGGATAACAGCTTGGTTAATTGTCATCCCACTGCATGCAAAGGATTACTAGCGTTCCATTTCCTATTGTCAAGGAGCTCAGCACCATGTTCAAGCCCAAGGGTGCAACCAAACAAATCCCCAAATCCCACCTTTGTGAGTCTGTCCCCTAGGAACCCTCCACTACTGGTATCAGTTCTGTATTATTCATGGGCCAATTAGAGGACAGACGCACACAGTAATCAAACTGGAGAAAGTTTAATATAAAGACTTATTAACTATAACAAGAGATTGAAGTAATGGGAGGAATGGCTGATCAGTAATAAAGAGAGTTCTGAAGAATATAGGGAGAGCAGATATAGTGAGCAGCCATTACCCTCCAGGGCTGACATCCATTGGAGAGGGTGTGACCTCCTTGGACAGGGTGTGACCACGGCTCACTGGATGGCAGAGAAGTTCACTGAGGCTGTGAAGCAGCCCTCACAAAAGGAGGGGCAGGAGGAGAAAGCCCTTCACGGAGGGCCTCTTGCCAATGGCATCCACCACGAAGCCGCATCCACTACGGAAACCTCATGCTGCAGAAGTCACACCCGTGGCAGGAGCCTGCCTAGAGAAGCACCCCAGAATCTGGAAAAGAAACCCTCCTCCAGTGTCCCTCCAGTACTCTCTACTGACAAAGCTTAATATCTTGTAGTTGGTGAAGAAGAAATATTTTCATGGCCCATATTAATTACATCACAGCAGACAAGGATGAATTTAGAGCTAAGAGCTCATAAGTTGATAACTGGCACCATACCTTGTCATACTGAACTTAAAACATTTTTTTGGGGGGGCGCCTGGGTAGCTCAGTCAGTTGGGCATCCGACTTCAGCTCAGGTCATGATCTCACAGTCTGTGAGTTCAAGCCCCGTGTTGGGCTCTGTGCTGACAGCTTGGAGCCTGGAGCCTGCTTCAGATTCTGTGTCTCCCTCTCTCTCTGCCCCTCCCCCACTCATGCTCTCTCTCTGTCTCAAAAATAAATAAAAACATTTTTAAAAAATTATTTTTTAATTTTTTTAACCCTTTTAAAATTTATTTTTGGGAGACAGAGAAAGACAGAACATGAGCGGGGGAGGGGCAGAGAGCGAGGGAGACACAGAATCCGAAGCAGGCTCCAGGCTCTGAGCTGTCAGCACAGAGCCTAATGCAGGGCTCAAGCCCATGAACCGTGAGATCATGACCTGAGCCGAAGTCAGACACTTAACCGACTGAGCCACCCAGGCACCTGTCATGCTGAATTTTTAGCTTTGATATCAAAGTCATCAATCTTCCTTTTGGCTTTTGTTTTTCATGTTCTATTTCAGAAATATGTTTGTATATATGTCTGTGTGTGTGTGTGTGTGTGCACGCATATATATCTGGAATCCATTCAGAATTCATTATGTATGGTGTAAGGTGATAATTTAATCTACTTTGAATAGACTCAACCTTCTCCTTAATTTGAAAAGCTACATATATCATGTATAAATTTATGTATGTAAATATTTCTCTGGCCTACTCTGTTCATTCATCTACCTATTTATTCCTTTACCCAAGATACATTTTCTTGTCTGAACAAAAAGACTTGGATTAGGACTTTACAAAAGTCTAAAGAGGATTTTAGTATTTGTAGGAAGAATAAAAAAAACTATTAAGAGAGGATGATGTTCTTAAGTGAAACAAATAGCAATAAGTGCTTTGAAGTTTGTTTAGATGTATCTCTGTGCTGGTTTTTCACTGTTAATAAATACTGCTTAGCAGCAATGACATCTCTCCTGGCTAACACACCTCGTCAGTAATCTAGAACCCATAATGTGAGGCTGCTTGTTGGCCAAAGGCCCTAGGTTGTAGAAATGCAAATCAACTCTTCTGTCTTAGGATGTAAGGCCAAATCCTACTTCACCTGGAACTTTTAGGATGTTATCATCTCAATCACTCCATACTATATCTTCTGATACTGATAATAAAAATTAGATAAAGGTTTAATGGAGGTTCGAATCATGTTTATTCATTCGGATGCTCAAAGAAATAAAACTTGGAGGGGCACCTGGGTGGCTCAGTTGCTTAAGCATCTGACTTTGGCCCAGGTCATGGTCTCGCAGTTTGTGGGTTTGAGCCTCGTGTCAGGCCCTGTGCTGACAGCTCGGAGCCTGGAGCCTGCTTTGGATTCTGTGTCTCCCTCTATCTCTGTCCCTACCCTGCTCATGCTCTTTCTCTCACTGTCTCTCAAGAATAAACATTAAAAAAGAAAGAAAACTTGGAGGGTATATGATTACCAGTTGGGTCCTTCTGGGATTATGGATGGAGCCGTGTGAACTTGAAAAGCTGAAAGGTGAACATTTTCTACCACATTGGGTAGAAAGACGTTGTCAATCCTTTTTTTGTGTTTAATAGGTACCTGAAATACAAAGATTAAATAGATATTGGAGATACCATTAAAAGTCACCCTTACGACTAAGACTGAGATCATTGGTTCAGTCTGGGTTAGGCCATTTAGTGTGCCTTCTTATATTTGATGCATGTCATAAAGTGAACTGGTCAAGAATTAGTCTATCAAAGGAAGCCTTTTCCAGCTAAGGAGAAAAAGATATCCCATATGTGGAGTAATCTAAAAATTCCTTAATATTTTATCATTTGTGTTAGTGCAGTGTTTTGTTTTGTTTTGTTAAGAAAATCATTGGTGGTCTTACATTCCAGCCATGTATAAATTATTCTTCAATATGCATTTATTTGATTTGTCTCTTAGGCCTTAAGAAGTCAGAGCTTAGATAGATTTGAAGAGGCTCCAATTCTTTTGTGCTTTTCCTGGATCTTAGGTTTATTGCTTGGGGTTTCTATTCACATGTCAATGGGCCCACAAAACATTCCCTTATTTATTAGGGTTTATTTAGACCATCACCCTTCTGAATCTTTCAAATACAGTGGCTCTCCTCTGATGCATTTGGCTACTTAAGCAGCCTCTCAACCATGAGCTGTGATCGCAGACCTCCCCCACAACAGCAACATTTGCTTTTGGGAGTGAAATGGGGATGGAGGGAGTCTTAAAAGCCCTTCCGGTTCCATACACATCAACTGAATATTGCTTCCTTTTGGAGAAGGCTTTTGCAGAAACAAATAGACATATACTAGAATCTTACCTTTTGGTGAAAGATGACTGCACAGAGACTGGTAAGTTGAGCCAGTGATGGGCATTAATAAGGTGGCCCTACTTGGTCAAGGATCTCAAATGCACATTCCTGACCTGTTTCTTCTCTTTCTGTGTATGACTCTTTAACTGCATGTTTAGAAGCAAATTTTTCGTCCAATAACCAGACTATCAGCTGCAGAATTATACCCTCAAAAGAGACTTTAGAATGGCATATTTCTCTGACAGAATGATTAAATCTTTTCCTTTTAATTTTTCTCAAAGCAAGAGGGAAGAATTTTATTTTTTATTTATTTTTAGTTATTTTTTATATAATTTATTGTCAAATTGGTTTCCATACAACACCCAGTGCTCATCCCAAAAAGTGCCCTCCTCAATGCCCATCAGCCACTTTCCCTCTCCTCCACCCCCCATCAACCCTCAGTTTGTTCTCAGTATTTAAGAGTCTCTTATGGTTTGCCTCCTAAGAGGGAAGAATTTTAAATGTGTTGACATGGAAATGTCTGGAGGGGATTCTGAAAAACAATTGGGCAAAGGCGTAATACTTATGCAGTAGAGGAGGGTGTAAATATTGTTTTACATACACTAAAAGCTGAAAGGTTAAAAAAAAAAATCTTCATATACATGCTATACCTGGACCTAATCTGTGTGCCAAGAATTTCTTTGGAGGGTAGATTTCTCACATGTTGTTGTTGTTGTTGTTAAGTTTATTTATTTTTGAGAGACAGAGCAAGAGGGGGAGGGGCAGAGAGAAAGGGAGAGAGAGAATCCCAAGCTCCCAGGCTCCACACCAATAACATGGAGCCCGATACGGAGCTTGAACCCATGAACTGTGAGAACTGCTAGTTAATTATTATAGATGACTGAAGAAAAAGAAGAAATTCAGACACAGAACACAGCAAAGTGTGGACATTGACTTCCACATCCATTTATTTAAATAAACACTTTTTTTTAACTAGCAGCATCAGATCTCTTATCTGAGTTCCCTGGCACAGCAGAACGTTTTAAAAACGTGTGAGAAATGGGGCACCTGGGTGGTTCAGTCAGTTGAGTGTCTGACTCTTGATTTTGGCTCAGGTTCAATCTCACAGTTCCTGGGTTCAAACCTGAGCTGAAATCAGGAGTCACTTGTTGGGATAAGCACTGGGTGTTGTATGTAAATGATGAATCTCGGGAATCTATCTCTGAAGCCAAGAACACATTGTATACACTGTATGTTAGCTAACTTGACAATAAAACATATTTAAAAATAAATAAATAAACGTAATTGAGTAAGTGCTTTTGAGCTGAATTGTTTTGACATCAGAATTCTATTATTGAGGAGTAGCATTGGCAAGATGGCAAAGTAGGAAACCCTGAACCATCCTTCTTCCCATAAACACATCTATTTGGCAACAATTCATGGAGAAAGCCTTTTTAAGAGAAATCCAGAATTTTATTATCTAGACCCAAGTATCTAGATAACAGCCAGGTACATAATGTTTCTTAATGTTTATTTATTTTTTAGAGAGACAGAGACAGAGAGACAGAGCGACAGAGCATGAACAGGGGAGGGGCAGAGACAGAGGGAGACACAGAATCCAAATCAAGCCCCAGGCTCTGAGCTGTCAGCACAGAGCCCAAAGCAGGGCTCAAATCCACAAACCGCGAGATCATGACCTGAGCCGAAGTTGGATGCTTAACGGACTGAGCCACCCAGGTGCCCTGATATATAATTTTTTAATGTAAGTTTGAAAAAACCTAACCTAAAACCATAATTTCATATTTACATTTTTCATTGTTTCCAATATATAATCAAATTTATCTTTACTTACAGTTTCTGGCCTTTGAATCCTTCTTGTTATTTTACTGCTCATAAGATTAGTCTTTAAAAGGTGTTGCTGGGAGTATCTGAATGATGTGGAAGCAGAACTCAGGGAGTACTGAGCCCGAGATGTAAGTCCTATAATGTTGAAAATGTTAAATTATATCTCTGGTTGCAATATATGGGCCTAGATTTAATCCACAAAATTTTAGAAAAGCTTGAAATGGGCATCTAATCCAACTTTGTCAATTTTGAATGAAGATGTCAAAATCTGCATGGAATCATTTGCCTGCGGGTCACATGACCAAGTGAAAGAGAAGGACATGATAGGTGACTTGGACTATGGTGGGTAGGAGTGGACAAACTTAGGGATATTCGAGTTAATAGGACTTGGTAATTAACTGGACTTACAGGGTGACAAAGTATAGCTCCCAGATTCCTCAACCAACTGGGTAGATGTTTAATTTTAGTTTAGGGTGGATTTTGTGATCCTGGCATGTGTTACTCAATAATAATGGTTGTTTACAAGATTAGAAGGGGAGTTGGGTAGGAAATATGAGTATATATAGAGAAAGCAGATAAATAATAGTTCAGAGTCCCTGAAAAGCTAGGAGCAAATGGAATCTCAAGCATTGGGACTGGCCCAGGGAAGAAACGGGGCACATTTTCCATTTTACCAGAAGGGACCAAGAAGCAGCTGAGTACCTAATGTAGGTGGGCTGGGGTCAAAAAATAGAGGGGTTTCCCATGTGATGGCTTAAAAAAATTTTTTTTAAACGTTTATTTATTTATTTTGAGAGACAGCATGAGCAGGGGAGGGACAGAGAGAGAGGGGGAGAGAGGGAATCCCAAGCAATCTCCACGCTGTCAGCGCAGAGCCCCATGTGGGGCTCAAACCCACAAACCCTGAGATCATAACCTGAGTGGAAAGCAAGAGTCAGCTGCTTAACCGACTGAGCCACCCAGCCATCTCTGCCACATGATGGCTTTTAACGGCTCTGTGAAACTGGAGGTAAAGTGTTGGCTGGGGAGGAGGACAGCGTCTGAGGATCTGAAGAGGCCAGGAAGATATAAAATAGTTTCTGGGAAGAGGAGAGAGTGAGCTGACCCATCTTCAGCTCCAGGGGAGGGACATGTGAGCAGGGCTTAAACCCACCAAGCATCTTAGTGTCTGGCTTCCGTGATTTGTTCAAATTCGGGCATATGACCTGAGTCAGCCCAGTCAGGGGCTGGTCCTTTTTAATTGTCCCATCTCTACACTCACTCCTGCCATGTGAGCTGGAACAGAGGATGGAAGGGACAGCAGTGGCAGTCATCTCGCTTCCCGAGGGGTTACTTCCACTTCCTTTCTGCTCCCAGCATTCTTGGAGCCCAGAGGGGCAGACAGAGGGGTCAGGCCCCGGGGAAGTAGGTCAGACCTGGATCAAGCAAACTGAAGCTGGTCTACCTCTGAACATTTCACAGTTTTGTCAGCCAAGTGATTTCATTTTTTTTCCCCTTAAGCATTTTAAGACTAACTGCACTAGAGCATATTACAGTTCCTCAAGAGGTGCAAGATCCTAAGGGGATACCATGCTAATGCCAAGTAAGGAGAGCTTGCTCCTTAAGTCTGCCTTTGCTTCTGATGCTTCTGATGCAGGGAGCAGGGTGGCTGCTGCTACCACCACGACAGGAAGGAGAGACCTCGGTCACTTCATGCTTTCATCTGGACAACAGCTGAGAAAGGAGTGGGAATGACTTCTACCTTGTCACATTAATAGTATAGCTGTCCCCTTGGAGTGCTGGGCATTAAATAGATAGGTGCAACCCAGTCCCTCCCCTCCAATGAGTCACTGCAGTGGGGGACAGGTGGGGGCTGGGGCTTAGGAGAAACTTCTAGCTCTGCTTTCTGGGAAAGAGGCTTCTCTTTCACTCCTGCCACATCCCCAGTCTTGGGAATTAGGGTTCTGCCCCATCCTGCACCTGTCTCATGCCTCACTCTGCTTCTCCTTCATAAATGTGCAGGTGTTGGAGGACATGGAGGGCAGTTTGAAAGGACACGTTAACCCAAAAAGAGGTTAAAAAGATGCTTGGCTGGGGCATCTGGATGGCTTAGCTAGCAGAGCAGGAGACTCTTGATCTCAGGGTCCTGAGTTCAACTTCCACGTTGGGTGTAGGGCTTACTTTAAAAAAAAAAAAAAAGGGTGCTTAGCTGGGCTGGAGACAGAGGGGCAAGGGATAGACAGGAAAATCCCATGGAGTGTGGAGAGGAGAGTTCAAGGTGCAGAACTGCTCAGCGTCAGTGGCCAAAATAGGGCCCTTCAGTACTTTTGATGCTCTTCCTCTTTGGACAGCACAGCTGGGGTGGGGAACCTCCCCCTGTGGTCAGGGCCCAGGCAATAGGCACAGAGGCAGAGGGTAGAGCCCTGGGCTTTACCAGCGAGCCCAGCCCTGCTCTCAGCAAACCCAAAGTAACTCCATCTTTGTTTGCTTGATCTTTGACACTGATCTTTCTGTTTGTGAAAGATCTTATATATTCAACTGGTAAAGAGCCAAAAGCAAACATAAAGGACACACAAGTATGAAAGTGTCAAAGTATAGTAACCAACATATGCAGTTATTCAGTCCTGGTTATTGATATTTGATGATATTTTTGATAGTCAGATCTACAAAAGAACTTGGAATTAATTTCATCCTCAACTTATAGGGAAGGAAGCCAGTTTAGAGACATCCTGGGTTTGGCCTCTGCTCTATGCTACATTGCCCAGAGGGCTATCTTGATTGCCATTTCCATAGCACTCCTCAAGCCCCCAGCACCCAAGAATCATAATATATTTATAAATAACACTTGAGAAATGTGGTCATTGATGTCCCAAGACATTAAGATGCTTCAAAATATAGTAAAGTACCCAGTGTTCTTTAAGTGGTACATTACACCCTCCTGAGACCAGTTTTTATGACTGAAATCTTTTAGGATTGGATGTCAGTACTCCAAGGTGACTGGAGTCACCTTTCTACTAAAGTAGAAAATTATGACTGCAAATCAGAATTAAGTTTTATTCATTCATGTATCATTCATTCATTCATTCATTCAACAGACATCATGGAGCACCTATGCAATAACCACTGGGTTTTCATGGCTGGCCCATGAGACCCTCCTTCAATTCAGACCCCAGACCCTGGGGGTTTGTTCTAGCTAGAATAGGGGACATGCTTACCGCCTGGTGAGCTCATCTGGACAGACAATCGCTCAGCGTCATTAAGCTGACTTTGTAGCTCTTCTATGCGCTGGAAAGCATCCAGCTTCACACTGCGTTCCTGGACAAGCCGGCTTCTCAGCTGAGGGGAAAAGTGCTTAGGAAGCAGAGATGCTTTTTTGGTGCACACTTTAGTTCCTGGGGTTACTAGGAGAGTGTGGGTCCAGGCCACCCCAGGAACATAAATCTTCACACAGTCCTGGTCAGGCTGAACTCAGCCTTCTGAAAATCAAGAGCTCTAAGAAGGCCGAGAACTTAAACCAAAGATGAGCAGAGGCAGCCCCTGGACCCCCTTATTACCTCATAATAGCCAGGAGTTTACTCATACAATTTATATCCTTTATGTTTATTTCACCAGAGGGGAGGGGAAGAGAAGAGATGGAAAAGGGCCCTCAGTTCACAGAGGACCTTGTAGGCCAAGCCACAAAACCACTCCAAGGACAGGAGGAAGTCTCTGGACAGTTTCAAGCAAAGGAAAGACTTGATCTTTCTTCCAGATCTCTGTGCTCAGCTCAGTGCAGCTCATTATCTGCAGGGATGCCCTGAGAATCATCTCCCTGGCCTTATATAAGGCCCATACTCAGAGGCGAGCTTTTGTTTTTAATGTTTTTTATTTACTTTGAGAGAGAGAGAGAGAGAGAATGAGAGCATGAGTCGGGGAGGGGCAGAGAGAGGGAGAAAGAGAATCCCAAGTAGTCTCCACGCTGTCAGCATGTTCAGTCCCGCTAACAGTGAGATCATGACCTGAACACAGATCAAGAGCTGAACGCTCTACCGACCGAGCCATCCAGGTGCCCCAGAGAGGTGATCTTTGTGTTTATCTGGGTGGCTCTCTGCTAGCACAGCTGACCCACGTGGCCGGATCCAAGGTGCTCCTCATCTGTATAGACAGGAGGTGTCTTTTCTTTTGAAGTTTATTTTTATTTATATAAATATAAATGGATATAGATTATAAAAAGTAATTGAATTATAAAAATTATTCAAAAGTATAAAAAAGCAATATGATTCTAATGATATCATAAAATTATAAAGTATAAAAAGGTAATAATTGTAAAAAAGTCAGAATAGTAGGGTGGATCTAATAGCGTTCCCCCATTCACGTCCACCTGGAACATCAAAATGTGACCTGACTTAGAAATAGTCGTTGCAGATGTAATTAAGTTATGACGAAGTCATACTGGATTGAGTGGGCCTTACGTACAATGACTGATGCTTTTATACGAGGAAAGGGTACAGACACACAGAGGGACACATAGGGAGAAGGCCATCGGATGAGGAAGGCAGACATTGGAGTGCTGTAGCCACCAGCCAAGGAATGTCAAGGATTACAGGCAGCCACCACAAGCCAGAAGAGAGGCATAGAACAGACTCTTCCTCAGAGCCCCCAGGAAGAGCCAACATCTTGATTTCAGGCTTCTGGACTCCTGAACTGTGAGAGAATAAATCTCTGTTGTATTAAGCCATCTGGTTTGTGGCAATTTGTTACAGTAGCCCCAGAAAGCTAATCCACAGGCTAATCTCAAAAATTCAGCACACTCTTGTCTGCATAGACCCAACCAGAAGGCCTGTGAGGTTTTGACGCTATAACCTACAGCTCATCATACAAAAGTTAAAGGGGCAGTTTCTTGTGCGTGCAGATGCTCTCAAGTGTACTGTAACTGTCAGTAGAAGATCAGATCCCCAGAGTTAGGAAAACTTCCTAATACAAATTAGGCCCAAGGTGCCTCTATGCACTGCAGGGATTGGTGTAGGCTCCTCGATCCCCATGGACAGGAACCATATCAAGACTTATCAAACTATATCAAACCATATCAAGAAAAACATTATCAAGACCTCTGAGCCAGGCTGGGGCTAAACCAATTGGAAAAATATTAACAAAGGAAGGAAACATGCTTAGCAAGGACCTTGTGTTGTGTTAGGACCTTAAAAAGGACCCCACCCCACATCACAGATGTGCCCGAGATCCCACAACCAATCCAGGTCAGTCTGTTTCCAAAAGTGTTCACCTTCATATTCCCAGCCAAAAGACATATAGTCAATATTTATCAAGAGCTGTGTATTAGTTTCTGATCTTAGTGCTTCATCTGAATTACCTTAATCCTCCTAAAAATCTCGTGAAATGAGTATATCGTTCTCCGCTGTACCAACGAGAAGACTACAGCACATAGAGACCACAGATCTAGCCTAAAGTTACGCGGTGGAAGGCCCTGGGGTGTGAATCAGGAAGTCTGACTCTAGAGCATCCCCAGGAACGGGAGGTAGGCAAGGACATTCATGCTCTCCAAGGTCAGAGAGTCAAAATCTGCCCTCGGAATTGGAGGTTGGAGATGGACTAAAGAAGTCACCGTAGGTCATAGGGGCTCTTGCTGGCTGAAGGTGGATTGCTAGTTGGTGAGAAGTGAGACCATAAGCCCAGGGGACAGGAGCTGCCAGCAGAGGTGGAGGGCGGTTTAGAAACAGCCAGTGATCGTTTTTACATATATACACTAAAGACATGTATTTGTTGAGAGAAGCCTCAAAATGTTTTTGACTGCTTTTAGAATCTCTGCCGTTAGACAAGAATTACCTATTAACTAGAGAGATGAACTCCTTATTTTTGTGCTGGTTTCTGGAAAAGCCTAATTTGAAAGATAAATATGTGACACCAAATGTTTCTAAGGATTCAAGTCATATTTTCGTTTATTTTTCATGAAATAAATGTGAAATTCTAATTTTTCTTTTATTCTAAAGCTACTCATTTTCTCTCCATTTCTCCAAAAATATTTTCTCTAGCATTGCCTCAATTCAATTTTTAGCCTTTTTAAAATTTTGTCCTTTGTTTTTGCAGACTTCTCCCCATTGATCTCCTCCTTGAAACACTTGGCCAATGATTTAATTTTTAAAATTTTTTTTAAATCTTTTTATTTATTTTTGAGAGAGAGAGAGAGAGAGAGAGAGAGAGTGGGAGAGGGGCAGAGAGAGAGGGAGACACAGAATCTGAAGCAGGCTTCAGGCTCTGAGTTGTCAGGACAAAGCCCCACATGGGACTTGAACTCACGAGCTGTGAGATCATGACCTGAGACGAAGTCAGATGCTTAACCAACTGAGCCACCCAGGCACCCCGGCCAATCATTTAACTTAACTTTCCAACTTCTCTTTCCTAATATCTCTGGTGAATGAAGTGATTTATTCCTTCAGTGAATACATGAGAAGTGCCTGCTCTGGAAGGTGCTATTTCTTTTGCCTTCTGTATTGGATTACATTCTGTGCTCTCCTGTGTTGGAACCTGCATTAATCCACATCTACATCTATCTTTTCCTCCTCTTTTTTTGTTTGTTTTTTTCTTTTCTTGCTGTAGGGATATATTTAACAAAAATATATTGTGTCTGGAAATCACTTTTGCCTTTCCTTTTTGTCTCTAAATTTCCAGAAACACCTTGACTAAAATCCTCTTATAATAGCTTTCATAATGCTTGCTGCTTTTCCAGATTACCGTTGGAATTTTCTAAAGGATTCCCTAGCTCAGAAATTGTAGCCAGATGGAAACATGTTTCCCACATGGGTTCTAAAGGTGCCAAGATTCTGGGCCTTGAGGCAGTCAAACAGTCCTCTCTCACCATAGGCAACCTGAGCATCACCCAACATGGGCAGAAATATTTCCGTTTTCCTGTGGGCCTAGAAATGACAAAGGTGGAGGACACCAGAGGCAGGGAGAATGCCAGAAGAATGCAAGCTCTGGCTGGTGCACCCCGACTGGCTTTCGAGTGGCTGCTACCTCCCCCGGGAGTTACCTGTCGGAGTTCTGTCTGAGTTCTCTTCTGCTGAAGCCGGCCCAGTTTCGAAGCCCTCTCTGCCTCTTCAGTAAGGAGCTGCAGGTGCTGGTCCTTTTGCCGCACATCTTCCAAGAGCTTCTCCATGCCGGAGGCCTTCATTAGATCCAGCTGCTGCCTGTGGCGAGCTTCCTCGGTCACTCTGTGTTGCAGCTCTCTCAGCAATCGAGCCTGTGGCAGGAAAAGGCCAAAGGAAACGAAGAAGGCAGAGTCTTTCTTCTCACCAAAAGGTGGGGAAGAAGTTGCCCAGCACAATAGCCAACCCCTCCAGTAGGGCCCAGGGGCGCAACTCTGTGGAATATTCCCGGGCTCAGGGTAATAGAGGCTGGCCTTTCTGTTTGGGCTAGCAGGCAGCAAGACTACCAGGACCTAGGCCAGCTTGGCCTGGACTGTAAGCCCTGAAGCAACAGTCAGGGGGAGAACAAAGGAAACAAAGAGCAAAAGCCAGGCAAGTGGTAATGCCACTGTACAGGTCAAGAAATTGGGTCTTTTAATGCCCAAACTTGACGATAGTATGTATGTTACTTAACTTATTAACCACATAGTTATATCCACCACAAACTACATTTGCCTTGTCATTGAGCATTTATCATGACATGGCAGGGAAGGGTTTGCCTGGGGAGAAAGGAGTGATGTAATACAAAGCAGGGAGTGGAGAAGGGAGGTTCTAATCTTGCCTCTGTTTTGACTTCCAAAATAGCTTTGGGGAAGCCAGGTTCCAGATGGTTAATGAAGGAAAAGCGTAGTGATAATTTGGTTCTGTTTTGAAATTTTTCTAATCAGTAGCACCATAAGTACCAGATGTCCAATCCTCAATTATAATACTAATACTAATAATATTTGTATGGTGATGTTACAGTTTACATAATTATACTCCATTCTTCACCTGGTGCACAATAACAGAGGATGTCAGGTCCAAAAGGAACAAATTATATGTCGTGTTTTAAATATGCCCAGCTTTCCCAGACTCTTATTTAAACTCAACTCTTGTCTCTCTAAACCTAGGGTCTTTCTGGGGGCACCTGGGGGGCTCAGCCAGTTAAGCATCTGACTCTTGGTTTCAGCTCAGGTCGTGATCTCACAGTTCATGGATTTGAGCCCTGCATCAGGCTCTGTGCTGACAGCAGGGAGCCTGCTTGGGATTCTCTCTCTCTCTCTCTCTCTCTCTCTCTCTCTCTCTCTCTCTCTCTCTCCTCTTTCTCTCTCAATAAACAAATAAACTTAAAAAAAGATACAAAACTGTTAAAATAAATAAAAATAAAACTAAACCTAGGGTCTTTCTGCTTCATTCATGCTTGGAGAGTTAGCCCAGTTATTAGAGCTTAAACTTGGAAACACCTTCATTTTGGTGCCCACCCCTTATTGAGCAGCAGTGACTTCTGAAATTATGACTTAGTATGGGTGGGTCATCAGGAAAGAATGCAAGACTCTGTTTGGGGAATAATGCTGATGGCTAGGCCACACTCCACGTGCAGAAGGTCACTATCGATGGAAAGCGTGCTTGGAGATGAAAGGACTGGGCTAAAGGCAGAGACCTACATCCCAAGATGCCCTCTAGGCAAAAAGATCCTCTGAGAAACACATACACATACACACCGAAGAACGATCTTTTGTGTAAGGGTAGTATTTCACCATCTTAGCCAACTTTTGGCCACTCTCCTTGGTGTCTAGGGCTAGAAAGGAAGTAGAAGCGAAGCTGAGGTCTGGGCCATCTTTCTCTGGCAGTGCCTCCTGCTTGGCCTCAGCTGTGGAGTCCCGGTGACTGCTGCAGGAGGCAGGGTGCTGCTTCCAGGGCCACAGTCAGCTTTGCAGAGCGAGCTCAAAGGGAGGGAGGAAGAGGGGTTCTGGTGTTCAGATACCTGGTTATCCTGCTGCTTGCGCATCCTGGTGTTGGTGGCCTGAGCCCCGGCCAGGGCCTGCCGTAGCACCCCTAACTGCTGATGAAATAAAACCGCTTCTCGTTCTGCCATCAGCTTGACGCTCAAACACTCTTTTTTACTTTGCATGGCTTCCTGTGAACACCCCCAAACACAGTAAGATAGGAAATAAGTTTCCTTTCCATAGTTTTCATTTGAGAAGAGTCTCTAAACCACTTCATTATCCATCATTTTTAAAAACTTCCGGTAGAGGGGTACTTGGGTGGCTCAGTTGGCTCAGGCATGATCTCACGGTTTGTGAGTTCGAGCCTCAGGTCAGGCTCACTGTTGTCATTGTCCGAGCCCACTTCAGATCCTCTGTCTCCCTCTCTCTCTGCCCCTCCCTGACTCATGTTCTTGTTCTCTGTCTCTCTTAAAAATAAATAAACATTAAAAAAAAAAAAAAAACACTTCTGGTAGAAAGAAGCTCTAGTCGTCTTCTCTGTGTCCTCACTGAAGAAGAGTGTGGCAGAGCAAATAGGGACTTTCAGAAACACTAAGTGAAAGTTTCCAAACCACTATTTCTATGTGCTTTGGTTCCAATTTGCCTTGAAGCTGATTTTCCACTTATTTTGTTACTCCATTTTCCTCAGATAATCATGTCTGAAAACTCAAAGATTTACGGTGTTTGGATGAAGCTGCCTCAAACCCTTGGTGATGTCCTCCCTCCATTTTTCCCCTGTTCTCATGCTAGACTCTCTGTTCTCCCATTTGCTTCTTTGCCATTGGCTTCTGGCTCTTTCCTATTTCTCTGGGGGCTCTGACATTCAGTCACTTCCCTGGAAAACTCCCCGACTGTCGACTGTCAGATCCGTTAAGATGGTTGGTCTTGCCAACACCAGGGCAAGACCAGCCCCCCAGGTCAGCCAGCCCCCCACCTCGTCAGTCACTCCCTGCTGTGCGGGGTGGGCGGGCCTCCCTCTCCTAACACTCACCTTCTCTGTCCTGTTCAGCTGGCCCTGGAAGCGAGCCCGCTGCACAGCCAACCTCCAGTGGCCCAGGCTCCTCACTTTGCACACCAGGGCAGACAGGCGGCAGTTGTCTTGCTCCAAGGCACGCAGCTGCTCCTGCTGAGAAAGGCTTACTTTCAGAAAACTCTGCCCCCATGGGAAGGGCACAGATTCTAACATCAGAGACAGGCCTTGGGGCACCTGGGTGGCTCAGCCTTTTTTTTTTTTTTTTTTCTGATGTTTATTTATTTATTTTGAAAGAGAGTGAGAGTGCAAGTGGGGGAGGGGCAGAGAGAGGAGAGAGAGAATCCTACGCGGGCTCCACACTGTCAGTGCAGAGCCCTGGGGAGGGGTGGAGAGGCTTGATATCACAAACTGTGAGATCATGACCTGACTGGAAATGTGGAAATCAAGAGTCAAAGAGTCGGGTGCTTAACCGACTGAGACACCCAGGCGCCCCAAGCGTCTGACTCTTGGTTTTGGCTCAGGTCATGATCTCACAGTCTGTGAGTTTGAGCCCCGTGTCAGGCTCTGTGCTGGCAGTGAAGAGCCTGCCTGGGATTCTCTCTCCCTCTCTCTCTGCCCCTCCCCCACTCACATATTTTTTTTCTCTGTCTCTCTGTCTCTGTCTCTCTGTCTCTCTCTGTCTCTGTCTCTCTCTCTCTCTCTCACACACACACACACACACACACACACACACACACACACAATAAATAAAAACTTTAAAAAGAAAAAAAAACGTGCCTTCCAGAAGATAACACAAGTGTGCTGTGAGCCCTGGTGCCCTTTTAAAATGTCTGATGCAATGCTTTCTCAGGGAAACCAGACTGGAATGCATACAGAGTGAGCGGTAGGGTCAGATGCTGAGATGAAATGCTGATATCCTATCGCTAAATGAAATCACGTACTTTGGCTGGGTTTTCTTTCATTCCTTCATCAGGTCTGGCAGAGCCCCATTTTTTCTTTAGGGCCTTCATATTGTCAATCCCTTCTGTTCTTACTTCGCCAATGAGCTCACACACTTTCTGGATCAAATTCATCTGATTCTCATCCAGTTTTTCCTGCAAATTGCAGACTCAAGTTCAGGAAGGACAGTAGAGGAAGAGTCATTTTGCCTTCTAAAAGCTAACTTTCAGAAATGATTTCACATGAAAAAAAAATCATCCACCCAATTATTCTATCAGGTATTATCTGGAAATCTCCCTATCAGCCCCCTTTACTATTGTCTTCAGTCCACAGGGCTTCATCAGATAGACCCTACATGTCTTAGAGCCTAAGTTACCAGATGCCAAGTTAAGTTGAATGGATAGAAGAGTGGAAGGTCACAGGTGGAAAACTGAGTCACTCCTCCTCCTCCAAAGGGTTACTTGAGAATTTGAACCTAGGGGTTTTTGCAATCAGGTTGACTCAGCAGAATCTGACCAGATAAAACACTATATAGATGAGCCACTAATGAGGAACTACATTAAAAATACAGTAGAGGAAGGAATCAGGCTGGCTACTTTCCCATTTCGGTTTTAGCAGAAGTCTCATTATGAAATAGTCTGTTCTGAATGGCTTGTGGATAACAGCTTTTGGTGGAACAGCTTGATCATTGCTAAGTACAACTACAGACCCAGCATCCTCCGGTGAAGGGTAGAGTTGGGTGTCCTCTCATCTCTGAACCATTTTACTGGAGAGGAAAGCAGGAAGATAGTGCCCAGCTGGGCAGCCATGGCAGGAAGTCTGGCTCCTGGCCACACAGAGAAAGCTTCCCCACCTACTTAAGAGTCTGGGGTAGAACAGAGAGTCTCTGCTTCAGGTGGCCTGCAGAACTAGGTTAGCCTGGGAGAAGTAGAGAATCCACTTTCTGTCTAGGAATCTGGCATAAGTTAAAAAAAAAATTAAGAAATTTTTCAATAATTTCGTACCTGGAAGATGACTTAGCAATTCCAGACTTCACTGTCTGTTCTCCTGCAATACCAGGCCCAATGTGTTTTGGTTTCAATTCTTTAATATTTGTAAGCACTTGTGTTTTATGGACCCTTCATAAGTGAGGAGGAATCTCTGGTCCTCTCTGGAATGACCATGCCAAGGCAGAGCTCTGGTGGAAGCTCCTGTCAATGTAACAACTTCAGGGACCCAGAATCCTCCAGGAGAGATAGCGAAGTAAGGACCCACTGGGGGCTGGCTCTGGGAAACATCCAATAGCAAGAGAGGGGGCGGGTTTGTAGTGAAATTCACAATTTTGGGGCAGCTGGACCAGGCTCTGTGATGGCCCATTTTAGGCATGGGGCCTCCATCTTATAGCTCTTCAGACATCATAAGAAAGTGACAGGCTTCTACAGTGCCGTGGGCACACAGGCACCCCATTGCTCCTTTTCTGGATGGACCTTCACTTACAGGTCAGCAGCTGCCCGACACTGGACGTGAGAGAAAGACTGGTGGGCATTTGAAGGCCAGAAAAAAATCACCGACAGCTAATTCAAATTCTGAATCTGTCCAGTGAGCTTTCAGGAGGTGCCAGTTGCTACCTACACCAGGGTCTGTCCTGGCTTAGGGCACTGCACTCTCCTGCTTGGATGGTCACACTCAGTAGACAACAGTGATGTTAACCATTGGGGGTTTTGGAGAAAACACCCCCCACCTGTCCTTCACAGCAATCAGATGGCAGCAATGGCCCTTGGCAGCAGAGTGGGGAAAACAGCAAATAACTAAATTACCTAAAATTTAGTGTCTATCGTGGTAAAATAATGAGAACCCATCGCTGACCCCCTCTCTGAAGTGAACTCTCAGAGCCAGAGAATTCTTGGGCCCAACAGGCTCTGGTTACCACAAAGCCCATTCTGTCATTGTGACCACTCTGTGTTCAGTGGCTGTGGAGATCATTAACACTTGGCTCCCACAGGACTGTCCAGACGTCCGACACAGGTCACTTACTTTTATGTCTAAACATGTCATAAACAGAGCCTGAACTAATGTTTCATATTCTTCTTGGACTTCTTTTCTAATCTTCTCTTTGAGATTCAGATTTTCTTCTTCCAAATCTGTGAGTCGAGCTCTCAGAGCAGTGATTTCCATGATCATATTATGACTGAGCTCTGCAACCTAACAGCACAAATATTGTTTAATGGAAAATAACTCAAAAATTCCAAACTGTCACTACAAAATAGTTCTTTGCATATCAGCGTCGAATTTGCTCTTCTACCTTGAAGCTGATGAAAGAGGTGAACATCCTGTTGTACAAATATGGGTGGCAGAATTGAAGGTTGGTTTATGGGTCTCAGAACAGTGCCAGACATATAATAGGTATTCAATAAATGGTTGCCTATTATATGAGGGCATATATATAAGTGTTCCCAGAAGAGGCACATTTAAGCACTTAAAAAAAAAATTTTTTTTAACGTTTATTTATTTTTGGAACAGAGAAAGACAGAGCATGAACGGGGGAGGGGCAGAGAGAGAGGGAGACACAGAATCAGAAGCAGGCTCCAGGCTCTGAGCCATCAGCCCAGAGCTCGACGCGGGGCTCGAACTCACGGACTGCAAGATCGTGACCTGGCTGAAGTCGGACGCTTAACTGACTGAGCCACCCAGGCGCCCCTTTAAGCACTTTTTAATCCGATAAAATACTTCCGCTCTCTTGGTCTCCATTTGCAAATTGGCCTTTCTTGACACCTCAGCCTCAATACTTCTTGTTTGGGGGAAAAGTCCTCTGCCCCAACCCAAAAAATAGCAAGAAAAATATAAGTCAAAGCAATACAAAAAACAACAACCACCAAAAAGCTAAGAAAAAGAAAGCCCTTATTGCTTAAAAAGTGAAAACACACTCCTTAGGTGTTTCTGCAGTGGATCTTCATTGATGGGACTTCTACAGGGCACAAGAAAATAATGCTAGGAAGTTTCCTGTCTTCCTACTGCTGAGATTGTGGATCTGTGAGGTGGAGAAGAGAAGCTTTTTGGTAATAACTAACCTACCTGACCAGCATTGTCTTCAGGAGGACCCGAACCTCTTCGTATAAGATCTAATTCCTGAAGAGGAGAAAAGAATATACAACCAAACTTAACCATTTGTTCTTCCAACCATGGCTCAGTTCAGGACACCATGCTCCAGACACCTCCCATTTGTGTTAATGGAGCTTCATTTTGAGCTCCTCAAGCTCCACCTGGAGTCAGGACTGTGCTTGTGGTCCCATCGGATTTTAGGATGCCCAACATGAGATCTAAAGGCAGCATGAACTTCCAGGTGTCCACACTAATGCAGAAGACTTGGCTCTGTGGATAAGCCAAACTGGGGGTGAGGCCAAGACTCGTTTGATATTTGAATGCTTCATTTGATTTTTTTTTTCAGGCTTTTGCACTTTTCTTAGGTGAAAAGTAAAATTACACCAAACCTCTGAAGCAATCCATTTTAAAACGGTGTGCAATTAGGACAGGAGAAGTGACCCTTGGATCCCACCAGTGGGATCTCATTTTAAGGAAGTCTCATTAATGAGACCCATGAAGTGCATCCTGAAGACAGAGTTTATTCAAGGATCCTGGCTTCTAGGCTAGACCATGGACAGCACAAGGTACTTTGGGGTTGCTTAGGTGGGAAGGTCAGTTATGCATTTTCCCTGGGGGAGGGAAGGGGGTGCGGGGGTGGGGTGGCGACCTGCTCCTTTGTCGCTAACTTTTTATATTCTCCACTAGACACCTCCAAAGCACACAACCCAGTGTTTCTGAGCCATCACTCTTGCAGCTGATAATACCAGAGCCCAAGAAAATGAGCCAGTGAGAAGAGACATTGGAGAGTACCAATCATTCTCAGTTCTTGCATAAGAACACCTCCCCTACCCTCTGTTCTATTCTCTTTGGAGTAACTCCCAGGCTTTCCTATCCACACCTTCCCCATCACACTTCCTGTCTCTCTGGGAACGTACTTGTTCTTTCTGGCAGAGCTCCTGCCTAGCATGCTCCAACACATGCTCATAATACATGGAGTAGCTCTCGAAGTTGCTGCGTTCTCTTGCCATCACATCACAACCCAGGGAAAGGAGGCAGGCCTCAAGGTGCTCTTTCCTGAAAGTGATCTGAAAAGGAAGAGGCATCATTCATAGCAGCTCCAGCAGGACAGCCTCACTGTGCCAGGGCTCATGGCACACGTTGCCTTGGCTCACAGACCCATGTCTAGTTCTCCTCCATAGAAAACATGGGCTCTACCCTTCCAAGTCTCTCTTTCAAGTCTGCTCTTAGTATTTGCAGGGCGGGGACAAGAGTACAAATGGAGGCCCACCTGCCACATACCTAAGTATTCTAGATGCTTAAAGGTTGGAAATCAAACTAACAAACTATTAATTCTCCTACTTTGAAAAATAGATCTTCAAAATTGTTTGGAAGGTCAGGCTTGGACGTCTGTGTTCTATGCTGAAATGTGGTGATGTGGAGTGAGCTGGTCACCAACCTAGAGTTTACAGCATGACACCCTTCTCTTTCTACCTCTGGCTTCACGTCATACTGTAGAGGGCCCTCACATGCATGTAAATGGACAGTCAGCTGTCTATGCCTCTACACAGCCACCCTTGACTACTCCTTAGGCCAGGGTATGCACACTGGCAGTAAGGTCCACTCTCCCTCTGGGGAGCAGGATCTGGGGACTTTCCAGGGAGAATTCCAGGGTCCCAGGTACCTGAAGTGTGGTCTAGAAGGAGGGCCAGGAATCTGAGTGGGCATGTCCCCTTGGCTGTGGGTATTTCTCACCCTGTGAGGAAGAGTGAAAGGAGAAAAACCAGAGGGGCTCTCTGAAGTATGAGCACCTGGCAGGGACCCCTCTAGCTCTGATTGAAGGGTCATACTGCTCATTCTGTTGGCAGTCCCATTTCTTCCCCTTCCTCTAAGAAATTGGGCATCCTTTTGAAGAGATAACCATTAAGGAACAGAAGAAGAGTCCACCCCTCCAAGGCAAGATTAGATTTAATCTGTGGAGAGAAATGGGAACCAATATGTAGAAGATATGACCAACCTACCTTGACTAGGGCCTGCATGTCTATGAGTGTTTTTGTGTGTCTCTATGTGTCTGTATCAGTGAGTGCATCTGTGTGCATTTAAGGATATGATTGTGCGCCTGTGTCTGTATGCATTAGTGTATATGTGTATGTGTATCTATGTCTCTCATGTATGTCTCTGTGAATGTCTGTATATATCTCTGTGTCTATGTGTGACCCTTTGTGTGTATCACTGAGTGTGTCTGTGTGTGTATCTGGGGGTCTTTGGGGGCCCAATCCAAGACCCAGCCTGCAGGCTTACATGAGCTTTATCTGTGATACTTCAGGGTCACGAGGGCTCCAGGCTTAGTGGCAGTCTGCCACAGAAGCTAAGCTGTCCTTCTGGGGTGGGTCCTGTTGCCCAGTGAGCCCCAGTTCATGGTCCTATCAGTGCAACCTCAGTGTCCCCACTGACTTTCAGAGAAAGCACAGCCAGGCTTTGTCAAGGCAAGTTATTGAGGCAAAGTAGCAGAGATGGAAAATAGTGATAAAATGCAGTACTGATGGAGGGAAACAGCCTGCTCACCACTGCTGATGGCAAGGGTGATCAATGTGGCATTCTGGAGGGCAGACTAGCTGTATCTGTGAAAAGATTTTATTTATTTATTTATTTATTTAAAAAAAATTTTTTTTTCAACGTTTTTTATTTATTTTTGGGACAGAGAGAGACAGAGCATGAACGGGGGAGGGGCAGAGAGAGAGGGAGACACAGAATCGGAAACAGGCTCCAGGCTCCGAGCCATCAGCCCAGAGCCTGACGCAGGGCTCGAACTCACGGACCGCGAGATCGTGACCTGGCTGAAGTCGGACGCTTAACCGACTGCGCCACCCAGGCGCCCCTGTATCTGTGAAAAGATTTTAAAATGTTCATGCCCTTTGGCTCAGTAATTCCTCTTCTAGAACTTTATCTTTAGGGGATGATAAAAGTGATACACAAAAATATATGTAAACAGATGTCCTTGATCTTTCTAACAGAAGAGAGAAATGGCAACAACCAAAAGTGACTAATAAAAGGAAACAGGTTGAATATTTTTCATCCATCTGTACAATGAAATATCAAACCGCCACCAAAAAGTATGCTGTGGACATATGTTTATTGACAGAGGAACATGTTGATAACATGTACTCAAGTGAAAAAAAAGTACACTACAATAAAAGGGCATATAGAATAATCTAACTTGGCTTAAAAAATGTTGATGAATGAAAAAAAACTATAAATGAAGTTTGGAAGGAAATATGCCAAAATACTAATAGTAGTTATCAATGAGGGTAAGCTAATGAGTGTATTTTCTAATATATCATATTTCTATTTTCTAATATAATCATAACATGTTTATATAATGAAGATAATTATATATAAAATGTACAAATAAACAAAATGTATAACCTCATGAAAAGATAGTAAAGCTTTTGTAAAGATCATGATCCACAGCAGCTTGAAAAGGCACACTGAAGAGATGTAGAATGGAAACAGTGGATGAACACCTCTGCTCATGGGGGATTTCATGAGCAGGGCCAGGCAGTCAGAGGAGGACACATAGCCTCCCTCTCTCATTCTCTGGGGCTTCCTCAAGGGGCCCCTTTTAGTGGAGTAGGATTTGGGGCAATCTAACCTGCTCTGGAAAGTGATCAGTAAGACAGTTGGATTTAGCTTCTGACACCAAGGCAAAGGGAATCAGGATTTGATGGCCCTTGACTTCTTTATGGTGCAAGGGTCAAGGCTATGTAAACTTAGTAACGACAAAGGAAATACTTCCCAGACAAAGTATGATGAAAGCCCGAAACGTTGAGACATTGCGAAACCACATTAAAGGCCATCAAGGCTGGTGACCCTTTCCAGGTGGCCTGGACCCAGTGCTTGGAATCGGCCACAGTGACTCACCCCTTGCTGTCCTGGACAGCAGTGTCTGGATCCGACTGTGCCAGCCAGGCCTCCAACGGCTTTTTAGCAGGGCAAACACTTCTCAAACTAATGTCATTATAGCCACCATAGTAGATATAGGATCCCAAACAAACAGAAATGCAGACTTGAACCACAATGGCCCTCTACCATTCCCTCTTAGCCAGTGTGATATTTTACCTAGTAAGGGTGAGGCACCTCTGGGTGAGTCTCTGTGTTACACCACAGAGGTAGGAATGGCCAGGAGCCCCCTTGGGTATCCCTGGAGGCCAGAGAAATTGTGTTGCTTCCTTCCCTCAGTGGTTCTGTTGGGGCCTCAGGAGATTGAGCTGAAAGATCAACTCAAGGGGATGATACATAGAGGGTGAGTGTGAAGGCAAGGAGAGGGGATATGGGCCCAGCCAGAGCATTTGCAGTGGGGACATGGAGTGGGGAGCAAGTCTGAGGTGGGGCAGACAGGAAACTGTTATTGACAGGTGACAGAGAGTTGCAGGGAGACTCCTAAGCTCCTAGGAGTCTCTCTCTCCAAGTGAACTTTGATTTTGCAGACTTATTCAGCCTTCCAGAGGCAGCCTTTGGAGCTGCCTGAACAGCATCTGTTGTGGGACTACAGCCTGTGTGGCTTCTATTGACATAATTTTTCTATGAACCCTACGCGGGGCTCAAATTCACCAACTGCAAGATCATGACCTGATCTGAAGTGGGACACTCAACCTACTGAGCCACCCAGGTGCCCCCAGAGCAATTTTTTTCTTAAAAGCTGTTCTGCAGCCTACTCTTGCCTTCCTAGGTCACTAAATGCCAGCTCTGTGCCAAAATGCAGCATGAAGTGGGTTCATCTGCCAACTTCCCCTTGAAGGCAGGCCCCAGGCTTCCATAAAAACTACAGAGTGAAAATCATGTTCTCCAGTGGCCTGATTCCTTCACCAACAGTTAAATCTGAACTATGATGAATGGCACTGGCTGGAAAAGCACCAGATTGCCCCATAGACTGATCTAGAGAGCCAGCCTGGGGTGAAGCATGGCAGGTGCTAGGCCTTGTTATGGCAAAAGTCTGGCTCTGCTGGAAGCAAATTGTCCTTCTGTGGTTTGCTTCTTCTTGAAGCCCCTCATAATTCATCTAGTATCTATCAGGCACATACAAGGTGTTTTGATGATGTTTATAAAACCCACCTCTGCTGACAAGATGCTTCAATGATTTCCCACTGACTCTGGGATAACATCCAAACTCCTAAGGATTGCCTACAATGTCATTCAGCAACTGGCCCTGCCCACCTTTTCAGTGTCCTCTTCTGAACTCTGCTCTACTCCCTTCTTAGATTACTCTGCCTTCCTTCTTCAGCCCCTCTTCATCTGGCCAACTCTTATTTGTGCCTTAAGACTTGGCCCAAACAACACCTCCTCCAGGAAGTCTTCCCCATTTCTTCCCTACCTGCTAGCTGGGTTATATCCCCTGTGTATGCCTCTTTCAAAGCATTTAACATGAAGTGCCTTTTCTTGACACTCCTGGGTCACCTGGTTCCATAAGTTCCTTGAGGGCAAGAACTGTACCTTTTGCCTTTAATCTAACAAAGTGCCTAGAAAAAAATTGGAGATCTATAAATACTTGCTAAATGAGTGAATGACTTTTGACATATGAATGGAGATGGTTCTGGAATCCACACAACAGACTATTATAGCTCTGATTTGCCATAAGGGTCAGTCTCTAACTTCAGGTCGGTGTGTTTAGTATGACATTTGAGCAAGATGTTAGAACTGATGGTGAAAGGCTGTTTTTCTAGAATTTGGGGAAGGAAGCAAAGATCACTAGAGGCCAATATGGACTCAAGAAAAATCAGGTCAGATTAACCTTTCCTCAGAAAATATATAGCACTTGAAGTGTATCTGGATTTCAGCAGGACATCTAAAAGGTTTCTCCACTGGACCTTGTGGACCAGTGGAGAACACAGGCTGGGTGACAGTACAACTGGATGGGCTTCTGACCACTGAAAGACTGTGTCCAAAGAGTGTGGTCAGCCTGAAGGGGACCATAGGGGGTAGCACAAGGATTGGGACCTGTCCTGGCATACACGGTTAGTAATGACTTAAATGAGAATACTGAGGGCAGGCTGACAAGAACCTGGGAGAGGGAGAGAGTGCTGAATGATAAAAATCCAGATTTTTAAGGATTTTAAGAAGTTCACCGTGGACCAAGTTGAACAAGACCAAGGCTAATAATATGGCAGCAGCAGGATGCCTGAAGGCAATGTGGGCTTCAGGTGACTGTCAGCCTCATAAGTCATCTGTGACATGGCTCCCAATACCAGGCACACTCATGGGCATTAATCAAAGGACACACAGGACAGGTGCACTCTTTGCCTGTCAGACAATCTTGAACTTAGAGGGAACTGACCAGGATGGTAGAGTTGCTCATATAAAGTGACCAAAGGAAAGGAAGGCAGTTTAATCTGAAGAAGAGAAGGCTGGGCTCAGGTCCTCAATGTATGCGTGTGCGGTCTGTACTTGGTACAGAAGCACCCAGGTTAGGGAGGAGCGCAGCGCCTGCTCTCTTTCCTAGTCCATGTGCCCTGGCTTGGACTGCACCCGTCTGGAGGAAGGGGTGACTATTTGTAATCCACCGCGCAGAGGTGTACCTGTCTGGGTTTGTGCTACTAGAGCAGGCCCCTCATTGTAATTGTACGGAGGCTTCACACATGCCAGCAGTGGCAGTAATTGAGCTTCTCTGACTGACCTGCCTTTAGATATCCAAAGGCTTGTTGTGAGGGGTCAGAACCATGATCTGTGGTGTTCCAGGGACAGAAGTAGGATCCACAATGGAGGTGGTGGAAGGCCAAATCCAGCTCAGTAAAAGCTGCTTGAAATATGAGCTGCCAGGAATGGCTGGAGATAGGGGGTGGGCTTGGAAGAGAGTGAGTTCCCTGTCTTTGCAGATCATTCAGAAAAGGCTAGAAGTCCACCAGGCATAGAATTTGGAGGGGTCTAATGTCCTGGCGTCTCATTATTCCAAGACACTGGCAGGCAGGTACCAACCTGATCAGTGTGCCTTGAGTTTCAGTCACACCTGATATGGGTTTGTCCTAATACTCTCATTTCTTTCCTAGATGACCCCATCTTCAGTGCTGGAGTAAAGTGTATGCATAGGAGGGGAGCAGATCTTGAGCTACGACCTTTTTGTTTGTTTTTATTGTAGTAAAATATATGTAACGTAAAATTTGCCATTTAAACCATTTCTTTTTGTAAATAGGCTCCACACCCAGCATGGAGCCCAATGTGGGGCTTGAACTCACAACCCTGATATCACGGCCTGAGCTGAAATCAAGAGTCAAACGCTTAACCAACTGAGCCATCCAGGCGCCCCCATTTAAACTATTTTTCAGTGTAAAGTCCAGTGGTATTCACACTGCTGCACAATCGATCTCTAGAACTGTCTTCAGCTTGCAAAACTGAAATTCTTATACCCACTGAACACCAACTCCCCATTCGCCCTCCCCCCAGCTCCTAACAACCACCATTCTACTTTCTGTCTCCATGAATTTGACTACTGTGGGTGCCTCATATAAGTGGAATCGTGCAGAATTTATGCTTTTGTGACTGGCTTTTTTCACTGAGCATAAGGTCTTCAAGGTGCATCCATGATGAAGCATGTGTCAGGGTTGCCTTCCTTTTTTTAAAGGAGAGGCACAACAGTCTGTGCTTCAAACATGTTTCTGAGCATGCCCTGCCCTAATCACCTCTGTATGTCTGGTTGAGAATCTCTGAGCTGCAGAGACCAAAAGGGACCACTTCACCCATTCATCAGAATACACATTACTACATTTGGGTATCATTGAAAGCTTAAATGAAATACATGTAAATAAATCATCAAGCTCTGAGGAAAAATGTATCCCCAACCAAGCTAGTGAATTCTCTGTCTCGTAATTAAAAACTGAAGTGTTGTTAATAAAATTACGGGGAATATTTGAAGAACTTAGAAAAATATAAATTTGAGGGAAATGTTGTTTTAAAAAATTAGGTATGTTTTGCTAAATCAGGTTTTTTTTGTTTTTTTTTTTAATTTTTTTTTCAACGTTTATTTATTTTTGGGACAGAGAGAGACAGAGCATGAACGGGCGAGGGGCAGAGAGAGAGGGAGACACAGAATCGGAAACAGGCTCCAGGCTCTGAGCCATCAGCCCAGAGCCCAACGCGGGGCTCGAACTCACGGACCGCGAGATCGTGACCTGGCTGAAGTCAGACACTTAACCGACTGCGCCACCCAGGCGCCCCTCTAAATCAGGTTTTTAAAGAAATGGTTGAATTTCAAAGGCAACTGGATTTGTTTCTACCTAATGTACTTATGTTTAATTTGTTAATGATCCTAAAAGCTCTGCTATGGCCAAATATCCACATACACTCTCTTATCTTGCCTTTTCAGCACTATTTAGGAATAGTCAAGAGTAAACAGTTGAAAACTTTAAGGACTGTGTGTATGTATATTGTATGTATTAAGTACATATTATTGTTAAATATATATTATATAGACTTGTTATGGATTCAAATAGATATATACCAAAAATTGTTGAAACTGGTTTGCTTTGTGGAGAGGAAACGGGATGGTGGAATAAGGAGGGTTGGAAATGTTACCTTTCTGTTTTTTTTGGTTTTTTTTTTTTTTTGTATTGTACATTTTATTTATTTTTTTTTAAATTTTTTTTTCAACGTTTATTTATTTTTGGGACAGAGAGAGACAGAGCATGAACGGGGGAGGGGCAGAGAGAGAGGGAGACACAGAATCGGAAACAGGCTCCAGGCTCTGAGCCATCAGCCCAGAGCCCAACGCGGGGCTCGAACTCACGGACCGTGAGATCTTGACCTGGCTGAAGTCGGACGCTTAACCGACTGCGCCACCCAGGCGCCCCTGTATTGTACATTTTAAAAATGTTTTCTAGTTAGTGGAATTATTGGCTATTTTAGTTTCTCTCTTTTAAGTTTTGAATATTAAAAAATCAATGCAGGAAATGTTGCTAAAACAACTCACTCATCAACAAACTCCAAGGTTACTTTAAAAAGTTGGCTGAATCTGAAATTAGTCAACATGCATATTCGAATTTCTCTCTTCTAATTTATTAGAAATCAGTCTTTTCCCAAAATTAAAATTATAACAAGTGATTGCTACTTTAAGCCTGAGTGTTCATATATTCATTCTAAGGGAATAAGGGAAGCATTGGGAAATGGGTCAAGGGGAAAGTCTTCTTTGCTTGGGTTAATGTTACAAAAAAAATACACTCCAAAATGACTAACTTTCAATACATACCTCTAGTCCACCATCCTGGTAATTTTCCATTAATCTCTGTACAAATTTTTCAACTATTTGTGGTCTGATAACTGAAAAGTTTTCTTTCATGACATGGTGCTTCCAAAGGTCTAGGGGGAGAAACATAATGATGCTAGTATCATGAAACACTGAACAATGATTAATGGCATTACACTGGACACAAGAAGCTGTTATTTCCAAATCCACAAAACTTAACGGGTGAGGAGGGGGGAGGGGAGGAAGTGGCTGAGGACACTCCAGAACTGTCCTCCAGAACATAGGAATAAGGAAGATCTACAACAAGAGCCCTAATGAAAAGATTTGGAAAAGTATCTCTGAAGCCCCACGAACAATAGTCTGTTATCCTAACTAATGATCCCAAATCAAATGTTATTATTGATCCTACATGATATCTATTTTCACTAAGTCATTAAGTATCTGAACAATTATTTTGGCCTAATACAGTTAACATAAATAAATGAAGAGCTATTATAGTTACAGCTACAGACTAGAAATGTTGAGGGCTGACAGGCTATGAACTTTAGCTCCTGGATTGAAGCAGCAATAGGCTGACACATACAAGATGAGGAATATATGCAATTATTCAGAGAAGCATTGTTTAGGACAGCAGAAGCTTGGAAGCAACATATAAACTATGGTATTCCAATGGAATAGTATGCATCTCTGGAAAGAAACCTCCCCAGGTGCTAATAGGAAAAGAACCATAGATTTTTTTTTCCAATTTTTTTAATGTTTATTTTTATTTTTTAGAGATAGACAGAGCATGAGCAGGGGAGGGGCAGAGAGAGAGATAGATGGAGACACAGTATCTGAAGCAGGCTCTAGGCTCTGAGCTGTCAGCAAAGAGCCTGATGCGGGGCTTGAGCCCACGAACCATGAGATCATGACCTGAGCCGAAGTTGGACACTTAACCGACTGAGCCACCCAGGTGCCCTAAGAACTCTTGATTTCTATGTGAAAAATGCAAGGTGAAGAAAAGTGAATATAACATGTTATGTTTTATAACAAAGACATGATAAATATTAAATGAGGGGATATCCCCTCAAGCCTACTCAAGATTATTGCTCCAGAATGCCAGTGTTCTCCAATATCACTTCTCCCCTCTTTCTTGGATCATTCACAATAGTTCATGTTATCTCTCCCACCTCATAAAATCCTGCTTTTGACCCCACTTTCCCTGTCAGCTATTGCTTCATTTTTTTTGCTCCCTTTTTAGCAAAACTCTCAGGAAGAAAGGCCTATCCTGGCTGGCTGTGACTTCTCTCCAAAACCTTCGTAAGCCCTCTCACCCAGCTTTCCTCTCCATCACTCCCCTGAACCTGATTTTGTTATAAACACCAGTGACCTCAACATGACTAAAAACATTGTTTTTACCTGACTACCAGAAGCATTTCACACAATTTGTCACATTTCTTCTGCTTGAGAAACTTTCATCACTAGATGTTGGGACACCACTGTCCTAGTTTTCCTCTACCTCAGTGTCTGCTCCTTCTAAGTCCCTTTTGCTGGTTCTCCTTGTCCTCTCCCCCAGCTCTCTTTTTGTTTGTTTTGTTTTAAGTTTATTTATTTTGAGACAGAGAGAGAGAGAGAGAGAGAGAGAGAGAGAGAGCAGGGGAGGGGCATAGAGAGAGGGAGAGAGAGAGAATTCCAAGCAGACTCCATGCTGTCAGTGCAGAGCCTGACAGGGCTCGAATTCATGAACCGTGAGATTATGACCTGAGCCAAAATCAAGAGTCAGACACTTAACGGACTGAGCCACCCAGGCTCCCCTCCCCACCCTGGAACTTAACATAAGAGTGTCCTAGGACTCAGCCCTTGGTTCACCTCCTTTTTTTCTATCTACGCTCACTTCCTTGGCTATCTTACGTAGTCTCATAGCTAAATACCATCCATATGCGGACAACCTTCAAATTGAGATCTAATACTCACTTGGCGTCTCTTCTTGGATGTCTAAAAGGGTTTTCTTTTCGTTTTTTAAAATTAATTAATTATGTTTTGAGATTGAGAGAGAGGCAGAGGGAGAGTGAGAGAGAGAATCCTAAGCAGTCTTGATCTCACGACTGTGAGATCATGACCTGAGCCAAAATTGAGTTGGATGCTTAACTAACTGAGCCACCCAGGCACCCCTAAAAGGTATTTCAAACATCACTTGTGCATAATTAAATTCTTTATTTTTTTTAACTTTTTTCTTTTAAATGTTTATTTATTCTTGAGAGAGAGACAGAGTGTGAGCGGGAGAAGGGCAGAGAGAGAGGGAGACACAGAATCCAAAGAAGGCTCCAGGCTCCGAGCTGTCAGCACAGAGCCTGACACAGGGCTTGACCTCACAAAATGTGAGATCATGACCCGAGCCGAAGTTGGTCGCTTAACCTACTGAGCCACCCAGGCGCCCTAATCTTTGAACTTCTCTCCCTAATTTTCCATCTCAGCTAATGGCAATTCTATTTTCCCAATTGCACAGGTCAAAAATCTTGGGAGTTTTATCATGGACTCTTCTCTTTCCCCCACACCCAACACACAATCCATTAGTAGTTACTTCAAAAACATGCCCTGAATCTGACCACTTAATACTTTCACTGCTCCCAACCTTGTTTGAGCCACCATCTCCCCTTGCTGGGATTATTGTAGTGGCCTCCAAAGCAGCCTCTCCCTTCTTCTATCCTTTTTCCTTTACAGTCCATTCTCAACACAGCAGCCAGAGACACGCCATTAACATATGCCAGATCAAAATCTGGGACAGGCACTGCCTCACACTCGGAGCAAACACTAAGAATAGGCCCTGCATGATCCACTCTCTCTCTTTTCACCCTTCCTCTCTGACTTCACCTCCTCCTTCTTTCCCACTCTCTCTCCACTCCGGCTACGGGTCTTTCTGCTTCATAAACATGGTAGGCACACTCTGCTCAAGTCCCTTGGATGGACTGTTCTTCTGTCTGGGATGCTCTTCCCGCAGATACCCACGTAGCTAACTCCCTCACCTCCTTCAAACTTTGCTCAATATGTCACTTTCTCCCTGAAGTCTATCCTGACCGTCCTATTTAAAATTGCAATGCGCTCCCTTCAAACCTCCATACGCCATCCTCCTTACTCCATTGTTTTCTTACTTCTTGTGTTACTTATTATCTGTGTATCCTCTTCTAGATGATAAACTCCACAAGAGTAAGGAGTTTTACTCCATGACAGTAAGGTTGTACCCCAAAATGGTGCCTAAAATATAGTAGTGTGTAACATACTAGGTGCTCAATAAATAGATAATTGAATGAAAGAATGAATTAGTGTAGGCATAAAGAAGCACCCTTAGGATATATTAAAAACTAATAAAAATGCCTACTTGGGGTGGCAAAAGGGGATCAGTGGTAGCAACTTGATCTCTAAATATGTATATTGTTGTATCGTTTTGAGTTTTAACCAGGTGAATGTTTTAGCTGTTAAAAAAAATCAAACTTAAAAACAACAGGACGGTGCTGGAGCAGTGGAAATATGTCAACACTCCTTAACTTCCATATGGAAGAGCAAAAGCACATGTGTATGTTTAATTACGTTGGGTAGGGCCTACTTCCTTGTGCATGGCCCCAGGGGAGTCTTGAAACAAAGAGAAACCTATGGAGTCAGAGATAGAAGCCAAGCCCTGCCCCACTCCCTTTTCTGCTGTGGGGGTTCTGGCCATCAGCAAGAGTACACACAAGGCCACTCCCTGTCGCCAGCTGTTTCTAATTTCAGACGTGATTTCATACTCATACTTTCATTTTTCTGACAGGAGACTCGGTACACACAAGAGGAAACATCCAGCACAATCCTCTCAGAAATGTGGATATGACAATGCAGGAGTACCTGGTATTTGCAATTACGTTGTTTACTGGGTGGTCCTGAGTTTGAAAATGGGGTTCCACGATTCTACAATTGGCTACTTTCCATCACGAACATATAAATCTGACTTTGTTTTTCCTTTAGGACAATAAAGGTGATTAGACATAACACCATTGTCCTGGTTCAGCTGAAGTGGAAAATCTAAAAAAAAGTTAATGTGCCTAGAAGTTCACACTTCTTAAGATGTTTAAGACTTTTGTACGTCTAAGCTTTGACAAAATGGAGTTCATGTATGCTTCAGAAATTTTTCAGACACAGAATTGGATACTTTTTCCAGGGTAATTGAGTGGTAGGTCTCTGGCTTATGGAAAAGCTTGGCAAGGGACCACATCTGCCACATACTTCTGGTTTGGGGACTGTCAGCTGGCAAATGCCCACAGAGCTGGTTTGGGTTTAGCTCTGGGGCTCAGCTGAAGGGGAAGTATTTTACCAGAGTGCTGGAAATCTTTCCACCGTGCTTCTTCCTCATGAGTTCAAGTTCAGACATACAAGTACATCTGTAGGCAGGCGTCAGGGGAAGCCAGGGAGAATAGAATTCATCCAAGAGAAGTAATTTCTGGCCAAGCAGAGTTGGTGTTCTCTAAATGTGTCTCATTTTCATTGTGTGTTGTGTTTGTGGCTTCTCTGAGATGAAGCAGTTTTTGACACTAGCATGGAGGTGGGAAAGAGACGGCACACTGGGGGTCAAATTAGGGTTTTGTTCTTTCCTCTCATTCTGTGCCCAGGTCCTTTGGCTGGAGGAAACTTTGACTTCCTCCTCGCCAAACCACTTCCCCTCTCTCCCTCTATGAATGCTCCCCCCACCCCTATGCAGCCTCCTCCCTCTAGGAAGCGTATCTTGGTTTGGTAGCATTTCACTTCTCTAACACAACCACCGGCCTCTGTGCCTGAGTGGCTCCTGGGTCCTGAGCCAAGCAGAACTGAAACTTGAAGGCACACAACTGCCAACCAAGGTTGTTCTCCTGACCACCAGGGTTCCCCCAGAAGGTGGGTAGGTTGAAACCTTATTGCTTTAAGCAATGTATTTTGTACTCCTGTGTTTCTCAAACTGCTCCCCAGAACGGTTGAGTTGATGATAGATATTCCCAAGGGGAGAAAAGGGTTCTGTGGTCAAATAAAGGTAAAGAACATTTCATACTCTCTCTCCTGGAGATTTACAGTGCACAGCAGGATAGTAAAGGCTCTGAGGTCTAGAGCAAAGAAATCTTTTTAGCATTATTTA